GAGGAGGTAACGGGGGTGTGGGGTGGCTTTACACCCCGAAGTGTACCATTTTATTGATTTTCTATCACCATTTTTATATATTTTGACCCAAAATATGTATCAGAATATGCCAAATCAATTCAAATTTTTAAAATTTCCTTGACAGAATCCTTTTAGACAATCTATTAGGGGCTAGCGATAAGACACTTTCACAGAAGTTCGACAGTTGTCTCCCATTGAGTCAGTCTACCCCCTATTGTACCCATAGTCTTCAGAGGCTGGCGCCACAACTGTTTCTGATTTTATCTCGCTGTTCTCATAAAGAAATACGTGACCAAAAAATATCTTTCAAACCTTTTGACCTCGTTTTATATAAGCTCTGATTTTATCTAGCTACTGTCTTTAAGAAATACGTAACATTGCCGTGAAAAAAGCATCACAATTTTTAGATGATCAACAGTATAAATCTTGATACACCTGAATCTCTTGTCAGTTTTATCATTTACTTCACAATTGAACAAATGATATTGTTATATTAATCAAAGATATTATTTACACAGGTATTTATTTAATTTTATCTCTCTAACTATCTTTCTACTACTATATTATATTATTATATTTTATATACTATTAATACTATAATATCTCTATGCGCCTGTATGTTATTCTTTATATTTTTTGTGGTTTTGTTTGTCTTCAATCGAGCCTTGATTGGAAATGAACTGAAATGGATTCCTACATTTTCAATCTCATTACATTAAAGGGGCATGTGATTTAATTGTAGGTCGGTTTTATTTTTGTTCAAATCTATTTATGAAAACTAGACAAAATATCTCCATTTTCGTCCGATTTGACGCTACTACCAACGAACTTCGTCAGCTCTGAAAGGTCTTTAAATTGAATCAATGACTCTTGATCCTTCACAGTTGATATCGGTTTCCCAAATACAAATTACATCAATCTCAAATTATATGTACTGGTAATGGATTTATATTTTGATTCATTTGATATTGCTGTCGATTGTCTCTCGTTTAAACACTTTGTCTAAGTGCCTCTCGCTTTCTCGCCTTTTTCCTCGCCTTATTCCTCGATTTCTCGTGGGCGAGAAGTCGAGTTTCCTCGCTTTCTCGTAGGCGAAAAGTCGAGAGTAGATATGGCCGCAGCCGGCTTCCATAATAATGCTCAGTTATCAAACTTTTGGAGTAATCTTTCGGTGTTTTAAACCAACCTCAACAGTACAACTGGGATCCATCGGGACATGAAACCAAAGAAATCTGACTGTTCTTTATACCGTAAATTGTAACGAGAAATGTAATCCATTTAGGTAGATAATGTATGAAGTACACGAAGATTATTTGTCCTAAGAACTCCATTTGACCACAATGTTTCATTCTCTTCATTTGATATAGGTTCAGCATGTTTTCTCGTTTGAACTGGTCCTTTATTTGACATTCACAACAAATCTGGCCAAAAGTTTAACTCTTTGTAATCCATGTAATCCAAATCATTTTGTTTTTTGGGATAAAGCTTTTTGCTTGGTTACTTCGCCATATTCCCAACCGCTAGAATGTTTTTACCGCCCATTTATTCTGCCTCGTTTGTAGAAACTGATGTCTGGGCAACTTCCAAAATGTCTCATCCTTTGATACGTTGATCATTATCGTACACATTTTCTTCTGCATCCGATATATCCGAATAAATGTCCATGTGTTATCATTATCAGTTTCGAGTATCCAAAAATTCCACACTTTGGAATGGCCATTATTAATTCCGTCCGAATTATAGTATTTTCTATTATTTGGCTTGCAATAATTAATTCTTCATCCGAGTCATTTATTATTGACTGCAAGTTCTTATTGTTTGAACTTTGTCACGTGTTATCAATCTTCACGTGCATACGAGGATTCAGTGAGTAAACAACAGCTAAACCAACACCGGATGATATGGAAGAGTTCACTGTGGATTATAGGGATGAAGAAATTATCAATATTTTAAATGTGATGTCGATGTGTATGTAAAATATTACCCTCTTGCCCTCGGTTAAATATTAGAATTAACCCTCGGTGTTCGGCCCCTGGTTATTTGTAATATCAACCTCGTAGATGTTAAACTTTACTACATATTGAAGAAGTACATGTTTTGTTGGCATTTTTACTTGTGATTTCTATCTGTAATTGACAATAGCTCGTCTTTTACTATCATCAAATATTGGACTTACGGTATAATAAAAGTAAGAGAGCTAACTGAATAGGATGTCCTTGTTGATGCATTTATTCACATTCCTAATAAAACATATTACATCTTGTACACAAATCTCAGATCCGTTATTTCGTCCTCCCAGAGGTAAAGACAGCTCGCATCTGGCTTTATCCGGATTTGGTATTCAGGTGTATTGTATTGTAAACGTTGGTTATGTTAATAGATTTTGTATGATTGTGACTGACAATAATCCTACAATGAATTGCCTTAATTAAACCAATATATAAACTCTCAATTAGTTTTTTTTTCATCTGTCCACGACACCAGAATATATTTTGTTTATTACTTATTATATCAGATCACAGAAACCTATTTAAGAACCAATGCTGATTTGACTTCATTACATTTTGTCTAGGTATTTCTTATAAAGATATCCAAAATGAATCGTCTCTACATTATACTGGTCATGTGGCAGATTTTAAGAACTGAATCCGCAGTTATATGTAAGTTATTATTTATCTCTATACCGATGAATTTGATAAATTTTATAATATTTATAATATTTTATAATATTTAATAAATTTTATAAAGTTCATAAAATTTATAATATTTATAATATTTTGTAATACTTATAATATTTTATAATTTTTATAATATTTTATAAATTGTATTTAATTATAAATCTATTTATTCATTTATTCATTCATCCATTGATTTATAAATTGATTTAGAATTTATTCATAAATTAATTTATAAATTTATTTACAAATTTATTCATTTATTTATTCAAATCACCAATGACAACAGAAAAGAATGAATTAAACGTCTATATTTTACAAGAATGATAAGCATAGTTTTCGAGGATCTAAATTCTCGTTGATTCAACTTGGATTCTTCGTGCCCATTTGCATCATTCACATTATACTCAAATAGCGAATGCTATTAAAGGAACAGATGCGCCATTTTTTACCATTCGTACCTTAGTCTCAGAAACTGGATTTTTTTTTAGCTAAGCCAATCGGTAATATAGTGTTCAAAGCTTTGAGCCATAAAATCAATGTGTGTCCAGAAATATCCACGTGAAATTACTAGTTTCAATTTCCTTTTAAAAGAATTATGCGATTTTCTTACATTTCAAGTAGGCTACTTCTGAAGACTATTTACATATATATATTCAACACTGAAATCAACCCCACAAAATGGCACTACTATACCTTTAAGACGAATTTGGACACTTTTCATTTATTTTACAAACCATACAGTTATTCTCTAATAATTTCAGCCTCTGTAGAGAATCTTAATGAATTAAGTCGTTATGAAAGATCAGCAAATAACGCTGCAGCTCAAACTAATCTAAAGTACAATGTAAGTATAATCTGTAATATTTATAATCTACTGTAAAGACAATCGTGTATTCGGAATGAGATTGAGTATTTGCTTTCAAATTTACGATACCACTCGGTTTCTTAGTAGTTTCACTGTAAAATTTTGCTTCTGGCAAAAATAGTTGATAATTTGCACGAGTTTACTCCGAATCTATTTAAGGAGTTATATAACTAAAATTGTGTCTCATTAAGTATACAGATTTATCCGTGTTTATTCTTAAGAATTTTTTTTATATTGGTTCAATAATGTTAAACGAGGGCGTAATCCTTGTTTTATAACTTTCATTCGAAATTATCTGTAATCAAAAATCTGAAAAATATTTTATTATTCTTGTTCAATTTAAAGTTTGAATAATCCTTGAAGCCACATTGATGGACATCGTGCCAAACCACACCCTAATCTGTCATACTTCCTGCAGGCCATGACAATACAAAATCAAAATTTCCCCTGTAATATTTCCAGGAAAATTTCACAATTATTATTGATACGATAATTAGTTATATGGATGAAAGTGATTTTTTTTAAGAATTAACCACAAATGAACCCTATCCAGAGGAATAAATAAAAGGAATTATTCACAATTAGTTATTGCCTTTATTCTTCTTAACACGTCCAATTTCAAGCTCGTAAACACGTAAAAACGTATCATTCCTATCAAAATTTAGCGAGAGCATATAATGATAATGGTTTGGTATTTTCATTTGATATTTCTTTACTTATCAATTATTTCATATTTGGGGATAATTTTAGCTCCACATAGATATCAATTAACCATAACTGCATAATTACAGGCAGAATGTAAGTGCCTCCAATCTGTGTAATTAGAAGTTTTTACTAGTGTTGCGCCCCCTGGCGGAAATGGTTTAAAACAACTACTGTTTCCAGAATATTCAGGCACCAATACACATGTAAATTGTCCGATCTATTCCACGATATTAGCTATGGTAAATAGTTCTCTAATGCAGTCGTAGTATTTTTTAAGTTTTTGTTATTTGTATTATTCGTATATCTTCAGTCTAACTGTAATGCTGACTACAAAGCTCTAACTCCTTCTCATTCAATGTGTTTGGTCGACGTTGGTACCGAGGTACCCCTGACACAAGCCGAGAAAGATGGGGCTGTGACTACCCATAATGACTATAGAGAGAATGTCAATCCCAAAGCTACCAACATGCAGAAAATGGTGAGTGCATTATTTTGAAATGATAAGTAAAATCGTGCAGATGGGACAATAACCTGAAACTCCGTGATAAAAAAATATCTCGACAGTTGCATCAGTCAGCACACTTCGTAGGCTCTCTTATCCCTTTAAAGTTTGGAAGTTAATTCTACTGTCCTGTCAATATTTCCTCTCTGTAATCTGCGAGGCTATGCAGTAATAATTTTCTTCCTAGGATAACATTGGATTTTCAATTTATTTTACGATTATTTAAAAGGTTTGGGATGATGAGTTGGCAACAATTGCAACAAAATGGGCTCAACAATGCCGAAGTGGTCACGATACTGGTAAATCAAGGAAGACAATATGTAAGTTCCCTTCTTTTACTGTTGGCGTATCCCATTGCTCGACATAAGTTTCGTCTTTTCCAACCCAACATCCACTTTGTCTTAGTTTAATAGTTTAAATCAAAATGACTTCTGTGACGAATTCGAGACTATAATTATCGGAATAATGACAGTGATATAAATACTCTAAGTACTCCAAAATACGAAAAAGAGAACTTCATGGCTTCTGATCCAACTTGAAGACTATTTTATGCCTATTTAACATGGAAAAGGATCATAGAAAGACGTTACAGATACTTAGAAAATTGGAATCGAAAGATCGACACTGTCCTGAGAAATACAGCCAACGAGAGAAAGTCGGTTTACCATATACAATATATACAGTCTTGGTCGAGGGTTCTGATTGGCTGCATTCGCTAGCGTACAATCCAATCCAATCGCTGCATTCCGTGATACAAGAATTGTGACTTGTAGTCAAGGTATTAGACAAATTTCGTAATAGCTTGACATTGTGAAGATGAAATACAATGTTACAATACTATATTCAATAAAACAAAAGTTAATAACCTTGGTATCCAGTCAATGTTTGTTCGTGAAACAGGAAAAAACAAGAAAAACGGAAATCTATGCCATCCGATATACCAATACAACCATCTGGACAATGTTTATGTAAAGATATATATTAACTATAGCATCTGAACAATTAAGGATGAAAAAAGAAGTTGGCAGTCTGTTTCCATCGTTATATAAGATAAAAAAAATCAGTCATAAAGGGATACATTTGTTTAAACATTTAGTTACCAAGCTTATATAGCTCAATTTCAACAATTTTATTAAAATTTGAAATCATTTTCCTAATATTCAAAAATGCCGTTTGGTTATTCTGTTGATAAAGCCCAATTTCAGCAACCCATTACTCTTTCTAGAATTTTCGAGGAAAGTAGAGATATAACAGTGAACGTTTACATACCATTATTAGTTTTTAATCTATTAATTTCCATAGCTTTACAAGATACCTATGTTGGACAGAATATGGCGGCTGGTTACTCTGATCTTAATGCAGCTATTAAAGGTTGGCATGATGAAGTCGTTGATTACCAGTTTGGTGTCGGGTCTATCAACGGTAAAGCCGTTGGACATTACACTCAGGTAGGTATTAACATAAGTCTGGAATGCGGAAATCTACGGAAATTTTGCCGTGTTAGGAACATACATCGAGGAGTCCACTTGTTTTGTATGCAAATTGGCAGAAATACAAAAAAGGTGATGCTTTAATGGCAGAAATGTCCTGATTGCAAATTACATGGCCCTCGTGTGCTTAAAATATACAAATTGTTAACAATAAACATGCACATATAATTAATTTCTTATTGGATGGACAAATTGAGTTATTGGGGTCAAATATGATCATTTGACCAATAGAGATACAGATACCAATATCAACGGCGGAAAAAAAACCAGTCTCTTATCAGATCGGTGTCCTCAACCAATGCAGATAATTATGGCTTATATATATTATATATATTTATTTCAGGTGGTTCAGCATATGTCGTCAAGAGTCGGCTGTGGTAAAGCTAATTGTCCAAATACCCCTTACGGAACGTATTATATTTGCAACTATGCTACTGGGTAAGTGTTAAACTCACGGAATACAATGTAAGTTTTAAATTCACTCAAAGAGTTTTTATGTGTATATATTAAGAACACTTACAGGTTAAAGGAGCAGTCAGTGTCTGTGGCTCCTATTATATCAGATTAGTGGTTTGGTTATGACTCTTTAGAAGAGTTTTTATGTTGCTTAAGATATATTTCATTTCTTCGAGGGAATATTTCAGTAATTGGTGATTTTTTTTTAGCAAAACCTGTATATTTGGCATCTCTGCTATCTGGGACGTCGACTTAAGGTTGAAAATTCATGAAAATTAGATCAGATGCGTTCGATTTCTTATTTCAGGCAAGGCAGTATTAACTATCCTTATAAATCTGGCACCAGCAGTTGTTCTGATTGTCCAAATTATTGTCAAGATAACCTTTGTGGTAAGTTGTAGGTAGCATGTACGTTAATTTTCATAACGTTTATGGATTGATTGTTTTGCGTGCTTTAATGGTCCCGATATCCCTCTGTCCATCATGAACAACAGAACCAATAGGTTCAAGGAAGCTTTTCATGTGATAGCTGTTTAGTGAACAAGAGGACACAAACCATGAATTGTTGAAACAGTTTCGAAGGATGTCTCAATCACTGAGTAAAAGGCTTTTTTGCAGTGAGTTAGTTTTTGTGGTACTCCTTCTTCATGGTGACGGGAATGATTTATAATGATTACTTTGTAAACAGAAATCATGATCTATGTATATAATCTTTTATAATCCATTGGAATGTGCATGAAGAGTCAATGAATGACACAGTAGTCAGATAAAACGTAGTTATATTTATGGGAAATGATTTCTGTATGTAAATCTTTCAAAGTTCATATGTTTATGCTTTTGTATTTTGGAGTACTTAGAGTATTTATATCACTGTCATTATTCCGATAACTGTCTTTATATTTTTCATTATTTTGTTTATATAAAATAAAGTGTACAGAAACGGAAGCAACGTTAAATTTGTAAAGAAAGCTTTACGTACAGCACGTTGCTCAAATCCTGCTTACCTTTTGTGCAAGTGTTTTATTTTTTCAGAAGTTTTCAATATAATCTTGTTCATAAATTTGATATAATTGCAATGTCTGTTTTATATAGCACTTATAAATTATAGATTGTGGAGGTAAATTGTGCTTCAATACTGGTACTTTAGATATCAATACGTGTACTTGTTCATGTCCAAGTCTTTACTCTGGTGACCAATGTCAAACCCGTAAGTGATATTTTTATCTGAATTTCATTGATTTGTATTAGCCTCTGATAGACATACTTTAGAGTTACGTGGAGTTAAAATCATTAGCCACGATGTATTTGGGATTTTCCGCCTTATTCCGATGAGGGCATTTTAAGCCAGGGAAATTATTAAGAACGAGCAGACTTTTTAAAAATATTCTATACTGCCTGATATATTTCTCTATACTGCCTGATATCTTTCTTAAAGAAATATATCAGGCAGTATAGAATATGTAAGATATTCAGCTCAGTAATTCCAATTCTGTGTATAGTATTCTGATACCACTGTCCTGCCAATAATGCCCTCATTGCACACTGTGGTCCGTCTCTATTGTCGGGTCCAATAACGTAAGGCGTCACAGTGCATTTTTATATATGATATTTCAGTCCAATGTACAAACACAGAAAAATCTTGGTGTAGAACCCATTATACTGAAGATGACTGTACCACATACAGTAACTTGCCCATTGACTGTAATATGATGTGTAGTGTTTGCCCCTATCGTAAGTATTTATTATTTAAGGCACTTCATGCCAATAGTTTCTAAATGTTAATCAATGTTTATTTGAGAGAAATCGGAATTGCGCATATTATAAGCTACATTATCGTATCTTTAGTGGTTGTATATCTTATATACTGTATAGTTGTTTTCTTTTACAGCATGTGATGGAAAACAATGTGAAAATGGTGGAACTTTGGATCAAAACACATGTCAATGTACCTGTAAAGACCCTTACTCTGGTCCAACCTGTACCGACAGTAAGTCTATTTGAGGTTATTTGAACAATATCCTTGAAACGACACTGTTATTATAATTCCATTATTATTGTTCACGAACGCTGAAAGTTAAAAAAAATGGTATAAAACCTAATCACGGCCATGGAGTTTGTGATCAATAATGTCAATATCAAAGGCCATAGATGTGTATTTGTAACAGACAAAAAGTATTCAAATTGGAATAATGTGGATGGTCATGGGTTCGAAGCAGGTCCTCATCCCATCGGAATAGCCGTAATCAACATGACAAAAAGTGTGACCCATTTTGCTTATAACTCCTTTCTGGTTATCACGAACAGTAATTGTCAACTATCTATATCATGCATCGAGGTTTATATTGATATCCCCAACTCATATGATTAAATTTTGTCAGCTAATATGATAAAAATGACCCATTCTGAAGATAAAAGGTTGAAGATAAGGAAGATTATTTTATGTGAATCTCAATTAAAATCAATACATTGTTTTTGCAGAAGACTGTCCTGGAGAAGAAGAATGGTGGTGTAAAAAATACTACACTGCTGCCGACTGTCCTAAATATTCCAACTTCCCCACTGATTGTAACATCATGTGCGGTGTCTGTCCACCACGTAAGTAGAGTATAATCCTCGATATAATATGTGAATTACTCACTAACATGTGCCATTTTTTACTTAAATATGATATTATGAATAACTCTTCATATTTCTGAATTTCTCGTTGATATATTATATTTCAGAATTACTTACTAAAATATATTGGTAAATAAATCATTGAAATTACACATTTGTGAATTACTCACTAAAATATTATTTTTGTGAATTTGCTCACTGAAATATATTTGTAATTTTCTTTTTAAGATATAATACTCACTGAACTACTCACTGAAATATTATATTATTTTGTGAGTCACTCACTGAAAATGACAGTCCAATTAAAATTAGACCCAACTTTCGTTTCGTTTTTTTTTTTTATTAGATTTTATTTTTAGCGCAGCCGCTCCAAAGTAGGGTCTAAAGACCGGACGTTTAAACATTCCTCAAAATAACCTTTTAACCCCATTCTGCTTTAACCAATAAAATTTACGCCCTCTCCATCGTTGGTGTTTTGTGAGAAATTTAAGGGATTTGCTTGGTTAAAGTAAATGTCAGCTGATTAGTTCTAAAGGTTATTTTGAGGAATGTTCAAGAGTAAAAGTTGGGTCTAATTTTAATTAGATGTGATAATGATATCTAATATCCATTCAACAAAAAATTGTTTCCATAATAAACCTTCCTCATACGTTACATATACAGATGTGTCGTCCAAATTTATGTGCAAAGTATTGCATGTGATATTTGTATTTTTTGGTTCTAGCATGTGATGGTAAAGAGTGTCTAAATGGCGGAACATTGAACATAGGTACTTGTGAATGCGCCTGTGATATTCCTTTTACTGGTTCTACTTGTGCTGAAAGTAAGTTTTCTCTGACTCAATTCCTTAAATTCTCTCTGTATTCTAAGGATTGTTTCATCATTTCCTCTGACCTTGGGTGAGATCAGGAATACTGGTGATTTTAAACATCAATTTCAAATGTTTTGGACTGTCATAGTTCTTGAAACTATTAGAATCCATTAGTGCTGGCCATTCCTCTCTTTCTTATTCTCAAGGATATTAAGATGAGTTTCAACCAAGATTTGCTGCTTATTTTTCATATGAACCAACCGATATCAAAGCTAGATACATCTGTAAATCATGGGTGCTCACTACTAATTCGAACAACGAATTGAATATTATAGGCAAATCAATCAACGTTTACATTTTTATAAAAGGTGTTTCCACTGTCGTCCTTGAATATCTGTATTTAACGAGATGTTTCATACATTTTATTAGCTTTGTCTTATTTTCAGAGGACTGTAGTGTTGGTCAAGAACCGTGGTGTGCTAGTCAAAATCAGACAGATTGTATAAAATTTAGTAACTTCCCATCTGATTGTAATATTCTGTGTGGTCTATGTCCCTAAGGTATTTATTTATTTATTTATCTATTTAGATTAATTTAATTTGGAAGAGAAATAATTTCATCTGATATATATTTGTGGATGGAAAAGTTACTAGACACCGAATAAGATGGTCGTTAGATAAGCCTAAAACTCTGTTTTATTCCATTTCGTTCCATATTTCTTTCATCATTGTTTGGCTCATATATTTTCAGATATGCAGATATTTTTAACGGAATTGGAAAAAGCCGTTAATAACGTCGTTAAAAAATATTCCATTGGAACAAAATAAATAAACATATCAAAAACGACCTTTTCTTGATTTATACTAGTATGTCTTATGGGGGTGGGGGTGGCCATATGCTTTTAAGCTGGTGAAAGAGACAATTTCTATTAGGAATAAACAATGATATTTTCAATATCTCAGAATCGTATCCACTTGTAAACAACCACAACCGTGCATCTGTGATTTGTGACATTTTGGTCAATGTGGGTTTTTATATTTGCCTTTTTCGTAGCATTATTTTGTGCTTCTGTAATAGGCAGTTTTTGTTATTGACTGAAAAGTGATAATTGCCATTGAAAGAATTGTAAAGAGATTTTCTAATTTTGGTATGTGTATAGGGGACACTGATGGCATCAATATGCATCATTCCAATTTTCAATCAGATGTCTGTGGTACATGCAATTTCACTAAAACTAAAGTGGTTATGACGTGTATTGGCACATTGTATACAATACACTACAAATTGATGCTATCAGTGTCCCCGATAACACATAAAAATGTAAAGAAAACCAATCTCTTTAAGATTATAAATAGTTGCATCAATTGGTGTGACGTGGAGATATATTTAAAAGAATTTTCCCGAAATGAATTGAAAGATTCTATTTATTGTCCATAGATAAATCACAAATTCTATTCAAAAACACAATTTTAATATTGGAACATTTAATTGCACGCAAAAGTTTGTGATGGTTATTCCAATTACAAACAAAATCATCTTTCAACATTACATACAGAAGAAAATTCATCCGGAAATGACGCTTGCCATTTAAAGGAGAAATAAAATTGTATCCTTTGAATATTTGAGCTCAATATTCAATTGATATAATTATATTTAAATATATTAAGTAAAAATATTAAATCAATTAATATATTATTAATACCAACTCAGTCCCGGTTGGTTTAATTTATTGTGTATATAAAATTTCGCCTTGAAAATCAAATTAACATTGCTTAATCAAAATTCTGAACACTGACATTTTGGTTCATGACGTAACGTCACGTGGTAGAAAAATAGCCAAAATGTACAAAAAGTACAAAAGGAAATATCCTAATGGATAACTAGAAAAAGATTTTGGAACATTTCGATGATGACATATTACGAACATATAGTTATTGTATAGAGATTTAACGGTCTTATTTAGGGGCATGCGTCACTTCCTGTTTGGACTATACAGCACACAGATAGGATAGTTCTTCTCTCGCCACCCATAACACACAGAAACCGCTATTTAATATGATAAAGGAACTGAAGCATCACTCTTGTAAATTAATTCACATCCAATTGTATATATATAATATAAACCTGAGCCACACAAATATAGTGCATAGAAATGGAAGATATATATACAAATTGTATATATTCAAATTACTGACCTACAAAAGGATAACAAACAAAAATGTAACAAATAAAGACGGCATACAATTTTAATACAAAATGAATATATCATTTGTAAATATAACACAGACAATCACAGATAAATTAGCACCGTTCATAAAAATATATTGCTATATATATACTGAATTAATGGGTATCGTTTATAAACATCATCTGCAGCATAATATCAATAACTTAAAGAGGTTTTCTTAAAAAAGATATGTGTATCGGAAAACTGATTGTACCATTGTACCATTCCAATTTTCAGTTAGGTGTCTGTTCCTGTAATTATCAAATATTATGAAAAATTAATCCTATGTGTCTTAAAACTATTGATATGATTCGATAGTGACGTTATAAAATGTTTGGTTTTAGTGGATATGCAGGAACCACAGACTACTCCTGATTGAAAATTGGAATGATGCAAATTGATGCTATTAGTGTCCCCGATTCACATAAAATATATAGAAAACCTCTTTACATAGCTTTAAATCAGTTTTCAGAGAGCATGTTTAGGAATGAGACAGGTACCTTTATATCAAATTATTCTTATTGATTACACCACTATGATCCAAGCGTTTAGGTAATGTTGCGAAAGCATAGGAAGAGGTTTGTAGGTGTAATTCTAATGAGAGAATAATGCTTGTGTAGTTAGTTAAGCAATTTGAATACCTAAGTATACATGGTGTTTAATAATAAAAACAACTGACTCAGGCCCCTTGAAAATGTCATGATAGTTTTAATTTTAACCAACTATACTAAGAGAAGTAATCCTACTATGGTGTTGTCTGACAAGGTCTTTGATGAAGGCATTCCATCTTTGTTCCCAGGATTGAAATGCATTGGTTTTCTCTGCGTTCGTCATAGCGCTATACCTAAAATAAACATTTAAAACCTTTTCAAAAACTATGTTTGACCAGATATTAAGAATGAGTCAGGATTTCATTTGGCAATAGAAAGTTTCCAACGAGATTTCTGAATTAATTTAGAAAGAGATCCTATTTGAATTAATGGAGTTGGTCCATGTCGTTCGGGAAAAAATTGGGCAAAGGGACACAATCCTCAGCTCTGTCAAATTTTGGGAATTATGATGATATTTAGATGCGGAGGTATAAGCGTCTAAATAGTCGTTTCCTGTACAGACGATTTTTTCTCGTATGACTTCCATGTGGCCTGTATTTGAGATAAGATCGCGCTCACGTAGTGATAAAATAAGCGGTGCCATGGTTCCTCCGACACTCCGACAAAACATTTTAGACTTGATATTCGTGAATTGAAAAGCACACCCGAAGAAACGAAACAATTAATAAATCATTTTTCAACATCTATCGTATGTCATTTGACAGCAAATGTTTAGCTATCCCGCTGTAACGAGTTTCAACGTGAATAAAATGTTATTTTTTTTTTATAAATTTTACTTGTGAGTTGAGATTTTGTCGGCGACTGCATTTTCGAATTTACCATTGGAATGTGGATTTCATATTTCCGCAGAATTGTATTTCATAAACACTGGTCCTCATATCGATCAATAGTCGATTAGATAGATTAGCTTGATAGCTAAAACAGGTGTAGACAAGTAGGACATTTCACTGACATTTTACCAACGGTTAATCATAACACCGCAGTTTATTCAAAATGGCATCACCCATAGACATTTCATGAGATTCTTGGTCTGATCTATCAGATGATAAAGCAAATATTTTGACAACCGTGTCCCTGTAACAAATACAATCAACCTCTCCAGATTGCTTTTAAGGAACACGCTTTGTAACATATTTTCAGATAATAGGAACATAACCGCAATACTTACTGTATGGAGTTATATGCTAACTGTTTTAATATGGCGATTCCTTCATCGGCACCACACATACCCATAAAAGCCATGTAAAAATCATGTGATAAGGGTTTTGCTCCCCATACAGCGGGGTCGTCCGAGCTTACCACTACAGGGAACTTTTTAGTCATCAGTATTGCCCCGGGATGGTTTCTGATGTCATCGACTAACTTAAGGACCTGGAAGGGAAGTACCATTTTATTTCATAATTATACCCATTATCTCCTGTTATCTAGAGCTAGAGAATGTATTTTACAGGAAATAGTCAATTGTTCAAGCTCTTCTTCAGCAATCTTGAGGTCCAATTTACGAACCATTAACAATAATGCTCTTTCGTCTATTCACACCTTAAAGGATTACGTGAAAGGAACTTGAATCTTTTTGCAAGGGCCAGGGATATTAGCCCGATTGCCTATATGATGATCGAAAAGTGTTATCGCCTTTTTAGGCCGCGCTGCCCGAAAATTTATATACATTGTACGAAGTGTAACGTCACTGACGTTAAAGAAAATCCATTTATAATTTTACCTGATTTGAAATTGGGTTTAATTCCACTGCTATTCCCCTCTTTTCAACCATGTTTTTAATGTAAGGGTGTTTAGTGAGGGCAAACCCATGTCCAATTCTGGTTGTATTTAGTAACAGAGCATCGACTAAGTTATAGTCAACTATCGTATCTTGCCATTCTGAAAATAAGATCATAAATCATTAGGCGACCATCAATAGTAATATGTTGCCAACTTAAATTCGGCAGGATCTTTTGACCATGGGTGAAGAAGTTTCAGCCATTTGGACATTAAACATGCTATCTATATGCTTCCCTTGAGATGGGTATTTGATTCAGGGAGTCGTATATAAAATACATGTATACCAAATAATATCATTAGCTATATGGACTCGAGACCTAGTCGTAGACTGGTCCGTAACAAGGCAAAAACAATGTTGTCTTTTAAGTCAGATATGTCTGCCATCGCAACGCTTTCAGTAGATCACATTTACAACATTTACCGTACACATAAAATAATTAATATATTTAGCGGATATCATATTTATTTTTTTCAATTTTTAAACAAAATTTATCATTTGTTAAATTGTCTCGTTTGACTTGTCAAAGTTACGGCACTGGTAGAGTGGCTATCAGACGTGAACTGCTCACAGCCATCACACATCATTTATGGGAATCAATGGTTTCAGAACTCAAGATTAATTTCAGAGACCTTTATGTCCATCAGCCTTATTGGCGTATCGCTAACACACTCCTTTGTGTCATACAAACCTAATGCTTAACGTACCAAGCAGATTTATTCTGATGTCGGTTTTTTCGGTTGTGTCAGTGTTAAAGTTAAATGGAGATATAACTCTTTAAAGCACTGACCAAGCAAAATCTATTCATTTGAAATTACTGATTAGTTTAGTTTAGTTAGACATATGGAGAGAATTTTGATCGTGACTTTTGAACAGCAGGAAGGACACATGTGTACGATTACTGGTATCAATTAATATATTTTTAGAACATAGATAGACTTACTTGTTTCTCCGCTATGGAAGAAGTAGGGTAGATTAACAGGTGGTGATTGTTGAGAAGGATATAACAGAGCGTCTAGATAATACAATAGAGGTTTTCCTAAACCTTCTTGTCCCACAAGATCGAATCCTACCACAAAATCTTTATATTTCTGAATTAGGGACATCGCTGTTTTTACATCTTTTAAAATATCGGGTTTTGGAAAGAATCTGAAAAAGAAAAGGTTTGAGAATGATGATTCATTAATCCACGGAATATGGACTGAAAATGAGGAAGAAATCTAAGAATTGTTAATTGTGTATAGCTAGACCCCCTGGGACGTTGCCAGGTAATTATCTGGGATGGTAATTGCCAAAATTTGCAAAACCAAGCGAGCAAAATAAATAGAGAACTGCTAACTGTTTGTGATAAAATCATAATTTTTGAGCTTCCATTCCATTAATTTGCATGACGCTAAAATATAAAATTTATTATGACTAGGATGAACCCTGGTTTGATTTACCAAAGTTAGAACACGTACCTGATTCCAGAATATATCAGTTTCACTCCCAGAAAATCTGGGTTCTGTTGGATGAATTCTTTTGCTATAGTTCGATAAGCATTGACAATCCATTCAGGAGACTTGACACTTCCGTCCAATTCATAGATCTGGAAAATCAACATGGTATGATAGCAACAAATTAATGGTTTGGGTTGGAGTTTTACATCCTACTTCTGTTGTTAGATCATAGAGACGGGAATGTCATAGAGTTCACAAAAGGGAGACTTTTACCATGGTAGAGGTATTCATTTATTTATTCTTGCCAACTGTTGAAGTATATTTAACATAAAGTGAAAAATATGGTAAAATATAGCGTGCCAGAGATAAAAGGTGCCAAATCGTGGATTTCTCTCATTGCAAATAAATTTGTTTGTCTCAAATCTCAAATAAGGAGACTCTTCGTTTTTATTCAAGTTTGGAAAAACATAAAGGACCTTTTTTACGTCAAATATTTGAATATTACAGATACATATTTCTGGATTGGGAACTTTAAACGAACTTACTGGAGATAATGTAACTCTTAATTCTACACACTGTACATTGTCTTGGTAGAATTCACTCAATGCTCGGCGGAAGTAATCTTGAAATACTGGAACATATTGGAAAGCACCATTGAGTAGCGAGAAATAATCATTGAATTTCTGCCAAACGTCGTCCACTGTTTTATACACGTCGTCTGGATTGTCCACTATTATGGATAAATTTTTGTACAATCTGAAAGATAAATATATTTTTACTTTATTGCCGGGATTTACAAAATTGTTCACAAGCTGAAACAGCCATGAGTTATACGACAGTTTATTGATCTCTATATACAAAATTGATGGGTTGTCTTCATTTGAAGACCAAATGTAAAGCAAAACAGGACATTGATATTACTTCTTCACAATGTAAAGCTAGTGCGAACTGAATCTCATGTCTTGACTGTAATAGCCAATTTCCTCGTATCACGTAAGTTTGTAAATACAGAGAAATTTGATTGGAAGGTATGTAAGAAACTGAGAACCTTCGATTACAAGCACAGCAAAATTGTTGATAATCTTTCAGTAGAGGGCTCCACATGATTGTACTCGTAAGCGTACAGTCCAGTCAAATCTTTGCAGTTACAAACTTCCTTCAATTATGTTTTTATAAACTACAGTACAATAATGCACACGTCACACTCGCGACCCATCCCATAGACAGAGAAACCTAAATTGGAGAAGGGTGGTTGCATCCATGACAGATGTACACAATCTTCATAATGTCACGTTATTATACGTCTTATACCTTGACTGCAATAGCCAATTTTCTACAGTCACACAAGTTGGTAAATGCAGCGATGTGATTGGATTGTATGAATACAGCTAATCAATCATAACAGCTTGACATTGTGAATCAATGTATAAGACAGAGTTCGTGATAGTTTGACATTATGAAGATGGTGTACAGCTAAAATTGCATTATTTCCTTCATATTCATTAATAGGGTATAATGAGATCATTAATTACTTGAAATCCTGGGCGAATTCCAATGAGAAAAGTCATAATAGAAAACTTACTCTTCATCAAAAACTTTGGCATCACCCGATCTTTTTCTGACTGCAGATATCAACTCCCAATAACAATCTAAAAACCCAAAGACAAACAATCTTCTTACCAAAAATGCACTATGGTTATGAACTGGAGTTTTGCGTCCAACTGTTCTGCACTTATAACAGGGCTTATATAAAGTGGTGATTCTACAGGACCCCATTGGCAATTTTGGGCAATATCGTGGCAATGACCTACTATTTTTATAATTCACTGTCGAGGGAAATCACGGGACCGAGGTCTTTTTTTTTTATCCAATCCGGACGACTATGACAGCCTCTCCGTCTCAGAATTAATTGTTCAGCCGATGCGACCATTTCCAAATCCAGGCGATCTGTATTACTGACAGGGTTTAATACAATTCGATAGTAAATTTTGGTAAACAAACACACGTAAAGGTTAGTCCTGCTACAAAGTATGACATCATAATCGCAATTGCCATTCAAACCATACAATGACTGCCATGGTGCGTCTCCTTGGTCTATTGAAAAGAAATCATAATTTACCTGGGTTAGCCGGTGCCTTGGAGTAAAAATGAAGACTAGGTTTCCCAGACACAGAATTAAAACAAATATAAAGATTGTCTCTGTATGTGACGTTCTGGATGAACCAATCTAAACTTGCCACACTTGAATCGTGAATATGTAAGGCACAGCCTGAAATTGAAATGAAATGGAGTTTTACGTTCTACTTTTCTACACATGATTGGTCTAATGAAGACTGTCATGCGGTTTCCGTACCATCTTCTTCATGAACTTCATCTGATACCTTTGACTGTAATAGACATCTTTCTTTTGTCACGGAAATTCGTAAATGCAGAGATTTGTTTGGATTGTACAATATCAAATACAGCCATTCAGAGTCCTAGACAGAAAGTCGTTCTGTTAATCCAAGAATAATTGCTACTTTAGTCAAGGTATAAGGCGAAATTGAGATTTTTGCCAGAAAAACTTGCTTTTGCTTGCGAGGGGGGCTGCTGCCCCATCTGTTCCCTACTTAGGCTCCGCCACTGACACAGCTTGTAAATCAAACAATTAGAAGACAGAACCCCTTCAAGACGAAAAATACTAGTAATACTAAATAATAATAACAATAATTTTATTTTGGCAACCAATTGAGACAAAAGTCTAATTTTCAATAGGTACATGAGAGCAGGATCAAAAGTTAAGATTGACGTTATTGTAAACGATTAAGGAAACATTACGTTATGATAACAAACACAATGAAAAATGAATAGGTGTAAATACTGAACATTGTGCCAGATCGGGATATATATAGTGTATTATGTCAATAAAAAGGCTTAAATATGATTTATTTATAGATATTATGTCCCTGGAATCCAATTTATAATCATTCCCCAATAATATAAGGGTCTGATATATAGAGTCAACAAGCACCCTTCGTCAATAATAACTAGCAGGGGTAGGATACGGAGTCAGCAAGTTTCAAACTGACTAACCTCAGTCATTAATTTAATAACTATCAGAGGTAATTTCACATTCCGGCCTCGAATGACCTGGATAGTGGCTTTTAAGACAATGACTACTATTTCACATAGCAATTACGTAATAGGCGAGAGACTTGTGTCATAACTGTATTATCATGTTTTACAGCATATGGCTAATCGATTAACCCATATGTTAAATCTCTAGAGAATGGGCCATTATATAATTAATTGTGTTAATCGATATATCATCGACTGGCAGCTGAAAATGGATAGCAAGCTGTGACATCTTGAAGAATCTGATTTAGTCGACTCGAAAATCGCAGTTGCCACCAATTCTTCGCATTCCGTCTCTAGCAAAAATCGAATTCGGTAACTCAGTTGATTGCATGGGCGTTGCGACCTTAATCATTGACATATGATTATTCGCATATATTTAATAAAAGCATATCAATTTATGAAGGGTATTTTTCTCTTTTGCAGTATCAAAATGAAGTTCAAAAAAGACTTCAATAATCTATCTATCTATCTTATTGTGAAGGTAGCGCAATAGCCTGTTATCTCTTTTAAAACCTAATACAGAAAATCCTCGACAGAAAGTCTGTAAACAATAAGTCGTAATGTGTCGAGAGCTGTAATTGGTCGTATACTCTAGCGTACAATCCAATCGAAACACTGTATTATAAGATACAAGAACGGTGGCTATTGTAAGTCAAGGTAATAGACGCAGTTCAAAATAGCTGGACATGATATAAATGTAGGGCGAATAGGGCCGATTTCAACAACCTGAACGTCTACTGCACTGAAGTTACTCTGAACAAATAAATAAACGAAAAATGACACAATTTTTTTTTCTCATACCATACATGTCAACATCAGTCCATAAAAAGGAACTGAATCATAACGGATGAGATGCGCTTGGTTACATACTAGCATGTCACTAAGTATTATAACATAATTTATTATATTGTGGCAATATGACAGTAGTACTAAATCGTACGTTGTAATTCGTTTCCGTAGGAGAGGCAAAGTACATTATATATGCATTACTTCATCTTATGAAGTCGGGAATAAACGAGGTACGATGTCGGTCTGTCATCATGTAATTAAAATTAGATTAAAATTTCGTTTCTTCGCAGAAGAATCCCCAACCACAGACACCCCCCCCCCCCCCCCAATGCTACTTATTGTGTGACAATATTTGTTAATTGTTGCCGATTGTCTCCTATGACAAATTTTTCTATAAACTAAGTAGTAGACTTACCTTTCGGCATTTTCTCGATCATCTGGAAAACGAGCGATTTATCGATGAATTTCTTGGATTGGAAGAAATTTTGAGCTGGTGGATAAAACGAGTTATTGACTCTGGCATTGAAATAGTCGTTTTTCTTCGCTCCCAGGAATATATTGTTAACTATCTTTTCATCATCTGTTAAATTCCAATGACTTCCTATTCGCATGTCCATTTCTTTTTGGACGATGGCATCACGCTGTCGTTGATAGCTTGCAGGCACACATACACAATAATTCCATTGCCATACTGTTAGAAATACTATAAATAGCCCTTTAGTCATTTCAATCCAATTTAAAATCTATATTATCCAGTTACATAGGCTTACGCCTTTTGATAAGAAATGATCGTAGATATTATATTCAACGTAGTTGAACACTCAGTACTGATAAAGGTTTTTTTGTTATGAACTCTGACCTTGAATATATTAGCAGAACGAAACAGTTTCATTGGATCTGAAGTAGATCAATAATATCTTGAAATATAAATAGACCTGACGCAGTTATACGGAAATAACCGAGGAAAACCGATGTTTAGTAGTCTCTATTTTCCAAATCACTTTGTCAACAGCGGACAGAAAAAAACTGGGTGTCAGAGTCTAGAGTGTAGATGAATACATTACTGTTAAATATTGTTGTTACAGGCCATTTGATTAGATGACCCAGTTTAATAACAACCAATAAAGGGCGGCGTAACAGAAAATTAAGGCAAGAAAATGACAGATATCAACAACGAACAACGTGGCATCTATTTTGGATCCAAAAGAAAAGTGAAGAATGTCTAGGAACGCATAAATTTGCATGAAACACGCCTGGGAAGTGAAGTAAGTATAGTTTTGAATAAGTTCTCTGCATTGTCATGTTGCAGAGCTCATTTTACAGTTCTTTATATTGTGCTCCTATACATTCAATTGCGTAATTAGAAAATTATTTGGTACCGAAGTTCCTGATTTTGCTGACTGGCTATTTTTAGAACATCTTGTATGTTGTTTCTCAGAGAGATGAGTAAATGGTCAAAAGGTCCATAAAGCTATGTTTTTAACATTTAATGCATTGTTCCAAGCCATAATCATAATATATGAAATATGATAGAACCCACTGGCACTGTATAAGTGTAGGTTAAATTTATATTCATGCTTTTTGGTAAGCATTTTTTTTAGCAAGATAAGAGGGATAGGGAGGTAAGCCAATATCTTTGCATGTAGGCTTAGTAATACTAAGTGATTCAAACAACATTTATGCCATTTGGCTTACTTAACTGGTAGACTATGACATTTTGCAATAGTGACCTAACAATCTTTTATCCCAGGCCAAGGCAATGACTGGCCTAGTATTTCGGTTACTACTATTATAAGTCTATAAATATTTTTTTTCAGGGTTGATTTGGCCCAAGAGCAAGTCCCAATACTAAGCATTTCCATTTTGTTGCTTTCAGATTAAAGAATACCAAAATAAACATACACAATGTCGGGAATTTATCAGTCAGTTAAGTCTTGTATTTTTAAGGTAAGAATTTTATCAATCCTTTGCCATATAAGTAGCTATGAATGGAATCGAAGACCAGCTTTTCTGCAGCAGGCAACGTATCATCATGCAGTATGCAAAGAGGGAAATATTACCTGAACAGTAGGGCTGCAACGATTCACTGATGAATCGATGAGCCAAGACTCTTTCCTTCTTATCGATGCATTGCGTTGGATAAAAATAATCGTGATGTTTCGGCACAATTAATTCTAAGCCCCCTTTAATAACAAATGACTCAGTATCCTTGTGTGTATAAGAAATTGTGTCATGTTTTCATTTTTCAAGTATCATTTTCACATCACATTTCCTTATTTCTAAATGTTCTCAAGTAATTTCACAAATTTCAACTTTTTTTTCTCTTTCCTTCTCTAATAAATGAATCGCGATAATTATTGCAATAAATCGTATCGCTGGATGAGTATCGTATAGTGTATCGAATCGCAGCTTCAAGAATTGTTGCAGCCCTACTGGATAGTTGCATTATTAGGCTCATGTGCGATTTCCATGTTGGGGGATCTAAAATATGCACATCCTGTAGCGCACAGGGCCTTTGTTTTTTTGTCCTACCCAGAAGTACTTCTTCAAAAAGGGAAACTTTTTTTTTAGAGATTCAGCTTTTAGAGTAACTATTTACACAACTGTAGGACTATCTTGTTGATAATATTGTTAATAGGGAATAAAAAAATGATCAGAATTGCATTTAATAGTACTGTAACAAGGTTTTCTTAACTTTTTATGTGTAGCAGATTCATTAATTCTTGCTATTTGCATCATTCCAAAATTTCGGGCAGATTTATTTTACGAATGCTCAACGATATTGACATTACTTCTGCAAAATCTTATTATCAATTTAAGCAGCTTTTGGAGAAAGCTATGTTTTAAAATATTAGTTTTAGTGGAATTGCAAGTTTGATTTAAAATTGGATTGGTCCTAATTGATGCTGTCAGTATCCTTTTAAAGGGGCATTCCACATTTTTTGTAGGTTCGCAATTTTATTTTTTTTTCAAATTTGTGAAAACTATACACCAAAATCTAGAGTTTAAATTTTTAATTGGTTAAGGCTGACTGCCTTAAGTTATCTATAGTAAGATATGAATCATAATGTATTATGATTGTGTAATACAGGCTTACCTGATCTATCTTTATACAAGTTGGGTTATTTTGACATTGAAACTATTTATAGGCTACATTAAATTCATCATCAAATAGACTTTCTCTAAAATACTTTAAAGAGATTGTTAAGAGGTTTTCTAAAGAAAATTATGTGTATTGGGGACACTGATAGCATCAATTTGCATCATTCCAATTTTCAATCAGACATCTGTGGTTCCTGAAATTCAACTAAAACTTAGCATTTCGATGACATTACCAATTGTGAAGGGCCTTAAATCATACAAGCATATTTGCACTTAGCGAAGTCATGAATCACTTATTTGTCATGGAATTGCTGGAACTATAGATTGAAAATTGGAATGGGGCAAAATGGAGCTATCAGTTTTTCCGATATACATAAATTTTTTATCTAAGCCAATCAATCACAGCTCAACATCGAAATTTGAGCCTTCAAATACATGTGTGTCCATCCGCATTTTAAAGACCAGTCATCTCTTTTTTTGAGACAAAAAGGTTAACTTATAGAAACTTTATAAAAGGTTTAGATTTTGTATCAATCGGACTGTCTCTTTGATATTTCTTATATTTCTTTGCAGACACCATCAACAGAAAAAACAGAAGTGATACGAAGTCCTGATGATATTAAAGAAACAGATGGAAATTCATCTTTAATGGCTGACAAAAAGACTGATGAAGTAAATGGTGAGTTTTGATGAAATTGTTCCGAAATTTCTTGGTAGTTTTGCAAAAGTTCTTTCCTGAAATAATATCTTACGAAGTTTAAGTTGAATTTTATAAAACCCAATGCCTGTTTATACCCTGTTTATATAAATTTAGCATATAGATATCTATTGTAACATTCAAGATATTGAGTTACCATGCAGTTAAAGTTATAAAAATCAAGGATATCTAGTTACCATCTGAATACATTATTTGATAAGAGATATTATCTTTCAAACAATTTCTAGTAAATATCTACAAGCTGCTACCAGGCTATAAATATAAGTATAAAATGATTTTTTGCCCAATAAACTATAGAAACAATGGGTTTAATGAGTTACTAGGTCACTGAAAAGGTTACAAAATATTTAAGGTATAAGGTTTTATACGAGAAACTCTCTTATAGAAGCACTGGCCTAGATCCCAAGTAGGGACTGTGAATTTCAGCATTGGAATACATCAATTTGGTAGAAAATTACCTTCTTCTGGAGAGATTTACAAGATAAACAAATAATTCAGAAATTCAAAGCAATTGTTACAGGGAGTTAATGAAAGGGGATCTAATCTACCATGGACAAGAACATTACTCAGATTTTTTTTTTTGTAAGCAGTCATCTAACATTTAGTATAGATGTTAGGGAATTCGTCCTGAAGTTCTTTATAAAAGCGTTATAGAGCGGTATTAAATTCAGATTTCTTTACTTTCCCTTTGTTTCAAATTCCAGATCCTACCACTCAGCCTGGTATATTATGGAGAATGTCTAGTGGGGTGTATAACACTGCATCAGGAGCTGTTGGAATGGGGGTAGGAGGGGTTAAATGGGTAGCAGGCAAAACATACGATGCCGGATCCGCAGTGTATAGCAAAGCTCCATCAAATCCTTTACGGAAAAAGAAAGACAAGAATGAATGAGGCGAAAATTATGGGACCAATTTTGAGATTAGATTTTTGAGTTCTTAACTATGAAATTGGACAGTTGGAGAAATAGACTCAACTGGTGTTTCTTTTAAGACACATGTATTTACAAGTATTCAAACATGTTAATATTGCATTCTGTTTTGTTTGAAAATCACAATAATAATTTTAACATGATTGCTGAGTTGTCTACTGTATAAGCCATCAAAACAGGACAACACAATAAACAGCACTTCAAAGTGATTTTTTTTGCGGATCTCAAAGAAATATTTTAAATTACCAGTTGTTTTGGTTATTGTGAACTGATTTCATTGTATGAAAAAAAAGACGTTAGGATTGTATTTATAGTTGTCTGTAGTGTATACCTGTCTGAAACAGAAGTTATCTCCCTTTAGTGTGCCAATTTCTGAGACATTATTCAGATCTGGACTTTTGAAATTCTCAATTAAGGACTTTACAATTCACAATGGACTTCTGGATTCCACTAAGGTACTCTGGAATTTATAGAGGTATTCTGGAATTCTCAAAGGATCTCTGGAATTCTCTAAGGACTTTTAGACTTCGTAAGTGATGTTTTTACAAGAACACAGAGTGCCTCTTTTATGTTTGTGTGAATCAACTAAATGCTTTGGGAAAATGGCTGCAAATGAAGAGAATATGATGATAAGAAACTGCTGATAAATTAATAACAATCTATAGCGTGTATTTTTTATTTTCACTGATTATAAAATCGAAATTAAAGTTTAGAAAAGATATTTGTACGCATTTCAGTCCTGTGAGCCAAGTTAAACACAAGCAGTCCATTTTATTATTGGGTATAATAGATAGAAATTAGAAACATAAAAGCTAGAATATTATGTTCTTCACTACTTACACTACCTAAAAAGTAAATGGACTGTATAAGTTAATATCTATTGGGCTTGAATATGCACACATATCTTTGCTTGACTATAGAAAGATCTTCTGTTATATAATAATTGTGCTAAATCCTATCTTGATAACATTTGTTATTGTTATTGCTTAGCAAAATTTTAAGAAATGATTATTTGTTATTCACAATTTAATTTGGTTTTTCTGACATTAATTTGTATATGATTTAAGGAACCATTTTCATCCAAAATAGTATCAAATGAAATTATTTTTATTTTCTAGACTGCCAAAATAAAATACTCTTTTGAATTTCATTGTATAATTCTAGTCAGATATTTTGTTTTATTTGCTTGCATTTTAAGCTGATTTTTATTTTAATGATTTGACTTTTTTCTTGGTCACAACATTATGGGAACATATATGACTAAGCCAGCTCATCAACTGAATATATGGGCTAACATTATGGATCATAATTACTTTAAGCCTGCTTAACTTTGTCTTTGATAAAACTCTGTTCAATTGTTTTAAGAAAATATCCTCCATACTTACATTGTAATATCTCAGTCAGTGATTGTCTTTGATTATGATATGTTTAACAGTTTTAAGAAAATAACCCCCATACTTACATTATAATATCTCAGACAGTGATTGTATTTGATTATGATATGTTTAACAGTTTTAAGAAAATAACCCCCATACTTACATTATAATATCTCAGACAGTGATTGTATTTGAATATTATGTTTAACAGTTTTAAGAAAATAACTCCTATACTTACATAGTTATATCTCAGTTAATGATTGTCTTTGATTATAATATGTTAATCTGTTTTAAGAAAATAACCCCCATACTTACATTGTAATATCTCAGTCAGTGATTGTCTTTGATTATGATATGTTTAACAGTTTTAAGAAAATAACCCCCATACTTACATTATAATATCTCAGACAGTGATTGTATTTGAATATTATGTTTAACAGTTTTAAGAAAATAACTCCTATACTTACATAGTTGTATCTCAGTTAGTGATTGTCTTTGATTATAATATGTTAATCTGTTTTAAGAAAATAACCCCCATACTTACATTATAATATCTCAGACAGTGATTGTATTTGAATATTACGTTTAACAGTTTTAAGAAAATAACCCCCATACTTACATTATAATATCTCAGACAGTGATTGTATTTGAATATTACGTTTAACAGTTTTAAGAAAATAACCCCCATACTTACATTATAATATCTCAGACAGTGATTGTCTTTGATTATAATATGTTTAATCTGTTTTAAGAAAATAACCTCCATACTTACATAGTTATATCTCAGTCAGTGATTGTCTTTGATTATAGTATGTTAATCTGTTTTAAGAAAATAACCCCCATACTTACATAGTTATATCTCAGTTAGTGATTGTCTTTGATTATAATATGTTTAATCTGTTTTAAGAAAATAACCCCCATACTTACATAGTTATATCTCAGTCAATGATTGTCTTTGATTATAATATGTTAATCTGTTTTAAGAAAATAACCCCCATACTTACATAGTTATATCTCAGTCAATGATTGTCTTTGATTATAGTATGTTAATCTGTTTTAAGAACATAGCCTCAATTCTTATATATAGTTATGTCACACCCATCTTTAACATTAAAGATTTTTTTCATAAATGTATTAGGGATTTGGGCTTTCAGGATTGTTCACCTAATAAGATTTCAGTACATTTTATGTGAGTAAGTTTTTTGCATAGTCTAAACCACTAAGAGTAGGGGTAACAGAAAATGAGCTTTATCAGCCAAAGTGCTGTCATTTTGACTTCCCTGTAAATACACCCACTTGCCCTTCCCACCTCCCCCTGTGGTAAGAATAGTGATCAGTATTATGTCTCAGCCACCTAAACAGTTCCTTTTAGTATTATCTCTTTGGTTATAAATTGGCAGTATTTTATGTTTTGTTCAATATATTATATTTTATTGATGTTAAATATGGAACGATGATGAAATTGTAAATAAAATATCTTTGCTTATATGTGTTTCTTATATCTGTGCTTTAAACTCGGAGTGTGTACTGATTTTCTTTACTGGGAGTATGTATTAATTCACTTAACTTGGGAGTACGTGCCGATTTACTTAACTTGGGAGTATGTACTAATTCACTTAACTGAGAGTATGTACTGATTTACTTAACTTGGGAGTATGTATTAATTCACTTTACTGAGAGTATGTGCTGATTTACTTAACTTGGGAGTAGTATGTGCTGATTTACTTATCTTGGGAGTATGTACTAATTCACTTAACTGAGAGTATGTACCGATTTACTTAACTTGGGAGTATGTACTGATTCACTTAACTTGGGAGTATGTACTGATTTACTTTACTTGAAGTATGCACTGATTTAACTGTTAAAACATATGACTAGACGCTACTACCGTGTCAGCCCCCCGACCTTCATCACTGACATGTTTATCGGGTTGAGAAATCTGAAGGTAATAAAAATACATATAAAAGTACATATTTGAAAATAAATATAAGTTTAATATTTACAATTTATATATATATATATAAATATTTACATTCAAGTGACACAAGCATAGGCGGGTTTCAGGTGCCAAGAAGCCTTCCCCTTGTACAGTGTTGCTAATAATGGCAATTTTAAGTTGTCTAAACATTGGCTTCATCAACAGCAAGTTTCGCTATTCATCCTTAAAAGTGATGCGGATATCTAAGATTGTGCTTTATCAGACGAATATATTTATAATATTATGTGCTTTATCAGTTTAGAAAGCTAATATTCAGACGAATATATTTATAATATTATGAAGATACAATTTCAAAAATACTTGACTGCGTTCAATTGCAGAATTAAAAAAAAACTTCGTTAAATTAGCTCCTGGTAAGCTGGGATGTAAATAGTTTCCGTCTGACCATTGCCCTGTAATACTTCAATAGTGCACCTTAATAATAAAACATGTGAATAATCAAATAATCAAAGCTTAGTGATATATCAGCAAAAGCCTAATCTAACATAAAGCAGTCGGTTAAATATCCTTATAGGAATACTGCTTCTTGGATTGATCATCAAATTATAATTCTCAAACTTCTTCAATAAGTATATACATGTATATTCGTCAGTGGACTTACCAGGCGTCATAAATATACAACAGAATCCCTTTATAATCCAATAAATCCATAAAACTATAAGTAATTATTATGACCAAGTGCACGGATAAATATACAATACCCATATTGGCCAAGTTTGAGTAAATAATTTTTCTGTTCATTCTAAGAGGTGTTATTCCAAGAATTTGCCAAAACTATCTCCTCAAGATCGGTATATGCTTTCAACTGGGGTTAACCCTTTCGCTGGTTTGCCGTACGCTTTCTGAACATAATACGTTTCAGTTTTGGTTTGAGGGCCATCGTAAGGTATCGCTGACTGGGGGTGGATTTTTGTGGGTTTTTCGACAACTGTGTAAGTTACAGGCAACTGCATGTTGACTCGATGGCGTGGTTGCTCCCAAGGCCATGGTGGTCTGCTCAGGGGTTGAGATCGTGGTGTGTTCACACTTTCTGATACCCATTCAGGATTGATGACAAAGGCTGCTCTGGATCTTCGGACATTCTGGAAAAGAACAAAAATTGTTATCAACAAAACTACTCCATTAAAATCACGTTGGAATTCATTCAATGGGACTTGTGAAAAAAAACATCACAGTAGGAGGGAACTTTTGCCAGGACAGTGGCATTTTCGAATCTGCCCTTTGTACAGATTATTAACGATGAGGTCATGGTTTCTTTTTCAAATGAACTTATATAATGAAGGTTTGCATCCACGTGCATCAGCTTAGGAGCATAATTGTACACTGCATGGCATTTTCCATTTCCATTAGCCAAGTCCAGGGCAGAAAGGAACGACTTCAGAATCAATTAAGTTTCATTTCATTTCAATGTGAAAGTGGTGGATGAACCAACTAATTAGAGTTAAAAACACATGTTGACAGGTTCGAATGTAGGACTTAGAACTGACACTCCGCTTCATCTCCATTCCCACCCACCATCTCACCCACGTTTTTATGAGATTGACGGTAGATAATGATATATAATAACAGTTTGTAGGATACATGATAATAAATTGTATGAAATATTGATGTATCTGTTTAATCAAAGGATATATCATTAAGTATAATACTAGAAAATCAGATACGTTATGCTAGTATTGTTTTATTCATCTATACTAGTTCATATATTTATAAAGCTACAAACATGTAAATTATGTATATATCTCTTTATTTCACATTTATGACATGGTGGTGGCTGATCGTTGATGCACCACACGACGCGTTGGCAATGTGTTCGGCATCTCACACGATAGGGTCGCCATTATTCTAGTAATGATGACCTGATTTCCGCTGTGAATGACCTATTTTTAGTCTGGCTGAAGGCTTTGCATCAAATTTCAAATTTGGAAGGGGGCTATGTAGAAAAATATGCTAAAACCATGGACGACTAAGTTTTCGGCCAATCACAGTTGTCAAACGAATATTGTGTCTGATGTGTCAAAGGATTATCTCCGATAATCTTCGTATCATTTATAGTATTCAAAGTATTATCCTTCACTCGACGTAACAATCCCAGCTATTGGCGTAATATGTGTATCCTATCTAATATTCGAGGTCTAATCTCAAGCGTTATGTATATCCTATCTAATATTCGAGGTCTAATCTCAAGCGTTATGTATATCCTATCTAATATTCGAGGTCTAATCTCCAGCATTATGTATATCCTATCTAATATTCGAGGTCTAATCTCAAGCGTTATGTATATCCTATCTAATATTCGAGGTCTAATCTCAAGCGTTATGTATATCCTATCTAATATTCGAGGTCTAATCTCAAGCGTTATGTATATCCTATCTAATATTCGAGGTCTAATCTCAAGCGTTATGTATATCCTATCTAATATTCGAGGTCTAATCTCAAGCGTTATGTATATCCTATCTAATATTCGAGGTCTAATCTCAAGCGTTATGTATATCCTATCTAATATTCGAGGTCTAATCTCAAGCGTTATGTATATCGTATCTAATATTCGAGGTCTAATCTCAAGCGTTATGTATATCCTATCTAATATTCAAGGTCTAATCTCAAGCGTTATTTATATCGTATCTAATATTCGAGGTCTAATCTCAAGCGTTATGTATATCCTATCTAATATTCAAGGTCTAATCTCCAGCATTATGTATACCCTATCTAATATTCGAGGCCTAATCTCCAGCATTATGTGTACCCTATGCAATGTATGCATTATCTCAAGCATTAAGTGATTTTATCTTGTATTCAACGTGTTATCTCAAAGCACTCGATGTCGTATCTCAAGCATTATTCTACCTTTTACTCGACGTGATTTCTCAAAGCATTCGACGTTTTATCCGAATTAATTTGTGTGTCCTATCTTGTACTCAAGCCTTTGCATCCCAAGCATTATGTGTATCATAATGGTACTCTATGTACGTATTACCTCGGGTAATCGACACTTGGTGTTCTCTTACAAGTATTAGACGTATAATTTCAAGCTCAAGATGCTCCCAATGTATATTAAATATCAAATTCCCGACGCGTGTGTCAATCTAATAAAATTTAGATTACAATTTCGTTTCGTAAAACCATACACCATTGCCCCTCCGAACAATCATGACTGGCTAAGGGCCTGATGCATCATCATTATTGGGCACATCACCACTTAGCACGGACTAGCTACAACACCATCAACTTTTATCCAGCTCAAGAATTGTTATCTCGAGCGACGAGCGTTCGAATTGTCATGTTGAAGTGACCCGACATTATGTAAAATAGAATACTGGTAGTACATACAGTTTGTTAAAGTATATTATACATGTATTGATTCGTGTTTTATTATCAGACTTGACAGCAGGTGGTTGGTAAGTATCAATTTGATCTAATTAAAGGTTTTAAATTGAGCCAGAATATGAGCAATAATGATTTAGAGAAATTACAAGAGCTCAACCATTGTGTCTTATAATGTATAGCTGGACAAAGACATATAATAATGCACATCCGAGGGCAAATCATTATGTGTAGTCAGATAAAAACACATATGAGGGTAAGTCTCAGTGCATAGTCGGACACAATAACGTATTTAGGGAAAGGGACATTGGGCCATTGCCTCACCCTCGGGCCTGTGAACCTCTCATTTTGAAGTGAAAATTAAGCCGTCTGCTCAAAATTCATCTCAGGTCATCTGAAATCCATTAGGCTTCTGAGACAACTCTAATTTGTGCCCCCTCCTCGGGCATCCGACGGTAAACCATTAGGCATAATCGGAAAGACACTGAGGCACATCTGAGGGTACACCAAAATGTATAATCGGACAATAACATTTGGGCATATCCGAGCACCAAGGGTACACCAGTATGTGTTGTCGAACAAACATAGTGCGTTTGCTCTGCTATAATCGAGTTTGTATTTGTATTGTGATTGTGTATAATATTGTATTCATATTTTGTTTGTATCAACTTGAACCTGATGGATAAGAAAGTATGCCCGATCTCTCTTTACATTTAATTCACTATTATGTGTGCCTGTGACATCTTTCCTGCATAACAGTTTAATTTTGAAATCCGACTAAATAATGACATGAAATTATCGACAACTTTTCGGAGTTACGTAAGTGTAGAAACATGTACATCCATTAGTGTTGAAATCTATACTTTTTCATAAACAAGTACATATTTATCTTCACACATTGAAAAAATGGTTCTGATATCAATATTGTATTTTTTTTTTTTTTTTTTACATTCTTTACACAAATGCATGTTATTAGTTTTTATAGCGGTTTCACAGATGATCATTATGTTTTTATTAATCTTTTTTATACGCCCACATAGAAATGGGTAATGATCGGATGAACACTTTTAGAGTTATTGCCCTTGTGTGTGCGTCATATTCGAATTTGATGATAATTTGATAAACTGTTTTGCTTTGACTTATAAATATTTTCAATATTACTTGAAAATACATTATTAAGCCACTAAAATCTTTATTATCATTTCTGACAGTTGGTAGTGAGCGTATGTTATCTTGCCTGACAAGCTATCTTTATCATTATTATGATCTAAATGTTTCTGTTTTTATTGATCTAAATTGTCTATTCAACCAATGTGTTGAAAATGTCATTCTATATTGCTCTGTGTGTTGTTTGCATTGCTTTCAGTGTTGTGATGGTGTATGTATGGCTTTGTGTTGTGTTTCTGATTGTAATGCATAAGATCGTATCCTGGTCTAGCCCTGTCCATTGTATTGAAAGTAGGTCTTGTTTACGACGGTTGTAGAAAATAACTGACGAGGCTAGATATGTGTTACTTTTGGATAAGCGAAGAATATATATAAAATAGAGTTTATCGTTCTACTTTTCAGCTCTAATTAACTGATAGATCCTTAACGTGCAAAGCCTGTAGCATACCATCCCGAACACATAAATTTAACAACATAACAACCTGCCTGATAGCTACTTGTACACGATATAATTAGTATGAAACTCAAGATTTGAGTTAATTAACACATTCGAACCAAAACAAACTTAATCCATTTCCAGCCCTACGGCCTTCCGTGTTCCTTTTACGACAGTGATACAACACCGTTGATAAAGGTACAGGGTAGCTTCCCCGCACCTCGAAATAACGAAAAATACAATACTCACCCCAAACATACTGCCTTGATGATTATTATCATAATGAACCGGTTTCAGTTCCCTGAAAAAGAAACGATCCGAATATTAGATAAATCACGACATCACAACCATGGCTTTTTTCAATTCATATTGCGTACTTGATCAATATATTTCTGTAATTGGGATAAATAATTTTAAAAATCCATATAAACAAAACTTCTAAAAAGTTATATTTATGCTTCATGAGCTTAATCGTAATCATGAGTTCCCTGTGAAATCATTCAAGCAATGTTCATCAAAACCATCAGCAAACAATTAACCAAAGTCTGCTTGATATTTCTAATCGATATTTCGTCCGCAGGAGCACATAAACATTTGAAATACTAAGTCATTGGAATGAAGTTTTAGTGCTACAAACGATTGGACTACTAAAATGAGAAAACCGATGTCATTTCGATTTCCTTTTAATATCTATGGTTCCTGAAATTCCAGACAAACTTAACATGACGTCAATTTCATTCAAGTCAATGTTTTATACAAGAGCGACTTCATTATCTGGTTTATTTTCCCAATCTTTGTTTTTGTGATTCCAGATAACTTGACCAGATTATGGTGTCTATAAACTATCGTTATTGAAGCCAAATCGTATCAGTGATCAAGCCAGGCCTTTTCCGTTCTTACTTTTCTAGATTTACAGAAACCACAGGCTCTGGAAAGGAAATTTTGAAGCCGAACAAACTCGCTCGTGATTATGTCCATTAATAAAGACCAACTTACAATATAGACATAGGCCCTACATAATTAGCCTACAATTAGTGCGATAAAGGAAATATTGTCAATTCAGCGGAACTAATCTATTTATTGCACCCACAAAATATTACTTAGAAATGTGAATTTACTGAAATTCAACAGAACGCATTGAGGAATTTTCATCCCCTTTACATCATTTTCAAATGAAATTTCTGTTAGTGAAGTGTGTTTATTTCTAAAGAAAAACTACCAAATCTTATATTTCTATTGACCCAAATACATTCAAAGATCATTGAGCTGGCCGCGTTTCTACGGGGAACCAAAACCTAGGATGTTCCATCTACTCCAATCTCTTATCAGTTTCCTTGACAGTCCCTCTCCACATACTGATTAAAAAACGCCATTGCTCTGATTCTATTAAACGAGGAAATGCTCTGTGGACACCATGATGATTGGAGAGTAAACGGTGCTATCGCGACTATCTTTAACTAAGCGATCTATAGGATACTAAGCACTAAGAATAAAAACTCAACTCACTCTTCGACATTTTCCACTTTTCTTGGTGTCCCATACTGATGCACAGACATGATGGACCGGTGAAGAGACCTAAATATAAGCTCTAGATCAATATAGTTTAGTGTCCGATTACCTTCTCCTACATCGATGTCAATGCTAGAAAACTATGCACAGCAATACAAATTATATCACTCACAATGGGCATTAATGAAATTGCAAAAATTTCTATTATCCAGACGGTTTCGTTGAAAATAAAGAAGATATCAAGAGTGGTATGATCGAGAACAATTGCCGTCTGTTACCAACGTTATCACGTGGTATAAATTACATTTTCAAGACTGATATTTACAAGTATTTGTTGTTTGCGATTAATCAATTATAAAGCAGATAATAACTGATTAAGTAATACATATTAATCTAGGATTAATTGATATCTAATTAACTAAATAAGCTTGTTTTCCACGGTTAATCTTAATACCAATGTTAATTCCACAGATGATCAGGCTGGTAGTTTCCACCTGGTGTTCAGGTGGTAGACCGTCATGGAGGTAGACGCTTGCTCGGAAAACTGTTGATCTAGGGAATCCGAAATGTTTCCGTTCAACTAGAAAGCAGATTATGCCTGCTACGATGGCATTTTGTGTGTGTTGAGAATGGTTCCAAAGCTCTCACATGGGTTGAGATCATTTGTTTATTATTTTTTAACTTGATATTCACCTGTCAGACGTGGAAAAGGCGCATTGATGTTCGGAAGAGCAAAACACTATAGTGTACATCAGTGAAGATCCGCGAAAGTTGGAAAAGAGCGTTTGAATTAACATCATTGTTCTTTCCAAAGTAATCTCATTGTACGTTTGAGAGTTTACTTCGAAGCTCTTAAACTTCCAAATTCCAAGTGATTGTTTTGATTATTCCCTGTTTTTCAGATTACCAAATAGGATTCCGTCGTCTCACTATTTTTGCTTTACTTTTACACATTATAAGTCTTAATTTACACTGAAATTCAATTAATAAAACTATTAATTTAGACATCTGTGTAACTTTTAACATAACTTTTAATAGTCGGGGTAAACATATAACTTGTAATTCGATTGATCAATGAATTTTCCGTCAAAATTCTACAACCACTGGGAGTAAACAACTGTTTGTAGGTTCATTATATAAAGTGTATTGTTTTTCACAAAATGGATCACTAATTACCAGGAAATATCGATTTCCGACTCTCAAAATTCAACATGCCAATAATCCATCAAAATAATTATATTATATTGACTATGAGTATTTTAATTCGCAGTTATTTCATACTTTAGACTTTTTGATAGTTTCTAAACATAAAGTTTTCAAGGTACACAATATACGATTAACACAAGGTACATCATACACCTAATTTCCCGTAAAAAAAATCGACGAACAATATGTTGGCGAAACCCAAACAGCGTTTCGTACTCAGCGGTCATCGCTTTAACATTTTTCACAAAAAAGACAGACCAATCGCGAATCTATTCAATTCAACCAATCGTTCCATTAAATATCTTCTTGTTAAGCCCATAGGAAAGGTTTCTGCATCTACAACGGCCAAACTAAAAAGCAAGCGATTGCAATGGGAGAGTTTTTGGATAGACCAATTACAAATAGTTGTACCTAACGGCCTAAATATACAGCATGGCATGACTCAAATTATACCTTTCGTTGCCACCTACAATTTTACTGCTAGCATACGAAATTTATTAGGGAAAATCTTGGTATTGTTTGTATCTCATAACGCAAAATACAGCACAAATACAGGGCACAGAATCGTAATGATGTTTATATTATTATTATATCATATTATTCAAAAAGACCAGTTAAATTGTAAAATAGAAGAAGAAATATGACACATCAACTATTTCTTTAATTCAAACAAAATCATCATTTGTTTGGATCGAGTTGAAATATAAACTAGCGTCAGTATTAGCGTGGTTGAAAGGTAACAAGTTACTTTTGGGAGGGGGTTGAGGCAAGACCGGGCAGTTCCCCCCACCCCATTTTGAGACTTCCGCGTTAGAAAGTTAAAAAGACGATTTGTCTTTTCTTAAGACTCTGTCATATATAGTTATAGAAAGATAAATTCATAGTTTGAGATATTTTTGAAGGAACTATGTGTTTTTCGTACATTGCTAGTATTTCTGAAGATTATATACAAATATTCAAGACCCAAATCAACCCCTCAAAAATGGCTAAACTGTCCCTTTAAAACAATATTACCGTTGAATATTATATAAACATGTTTTCAGCTTATTCTTAGATATAAAAATCGCTGTAAAATACCCCATTGGTGACGTCATTACTCCCGATATTACCGAATCAAATCAGGCCATGTTAATAAGATATAAAATTATATTGTCAATTTCCTTTAGATAAGAGATTACTTGTCTAATGTAGCACAAATGTTACATTGTAAAAACCTTTGTTAAAACAATTTCTATAGGAAGTTATCTGTGGAACTAAGAACCTTCCATAAATAAAAATATATCGCTATGGATTATGCCAACGTTTGTTTAATTAGACTTTGATGCTGTGAGATTTTTGATTATTTTTTATCAGTGCTGTTCAATGATCAATGATTGGATTTAATCAAAGAATATGAAAGGAAATTCAATACTTTGAGACATACGTAACATCGAATAGCTACCAGATTGTAACACAATAACAGTAAACCACCATTTATATCTAGTGTACGAAACAAAATGTCATAAAAATTGGCATGTTCAGAGTTTTCCATGATTTCTATGATTCATAAAATGATTCACATTAGACCCAACAATGTTTGATTCGGCCACGGCGATTGAAGATCAATTTGCATGAACCCCAATTTAAGGATCTTCACTTGGTTTAGAAAGAAAGACAAACAAAAAAAACCCTTTTATCTTGCAAGCATTTATCTCAAATGCCTAATCTATCAGCGATCAGCTACATTGTACTGGCACAATGCGATTTTCCGTTGTCTTTAAAAGCTATACCAAAAGATCCACGAAGATATATGCATATAAAGAGACTTCAGGCGAACTTCTCAGACCGGAGAGAATGATTCTTAACCCGTCCAGATTAAAGTTGTTTTAAAACAAAGTAGAAAGTGAAACACCTGATTGATTGAAGAGCCTATTACTGCAAAATTATTGCAATTATTTCGACGAAATTGTTACTGGAATCGTTTTGCTTGTATGGATTTTGTTTCATTAATCGTAGTAAGACAGTAAGAACATTTCCACCCGCTGTGAGTCAATCTAAGAATATCAAAGAAAATTACCCTCTCATTCGGCCTTTAATGTATGTTTCTTTGATATGATTCTCTTGAAGGATAATTTGTCTTTGATTATTCTAATTTAGGAAAATTTTTGATCATAATTACAGTTGTTACAAACACTCAATAATAACTCATATGATAAAAATAATGATTAGAAACACGACATTCTAATTTCAAATTTTGAAATATCACGTTTTGAAGGCTCAACTATCATATGAGATGGGTTGAACCAAGTTCACGGGCCACCATTCCCAAATCGTAATGATGCTTATATTATTATTATATCATATTATTCAAAAAGACCAGTTAAATTGTAAAATAGAAGAAGAAATATGACACATCAAACGATTTATTTTATATCTATGCCAATCCACGTTTGAAAGTTAAAAAGACGCGTCGCCGTTTTTGACACTGCAGTAATATATAGAAATGACATCTCAGAAATTTCTAGTTTGAGATATTTTTAAAGAAATTATACGAATTTTTAGTACACTTCTTGTACTTCTGAAGACTAATCACTTGTATTCATGACTCAAATCAACCCTCCAAAATGGCTCAACTGTCCATTAATTAGACTGGAGTATTTATGGTGGTGTACTGTGTCATTTATTGTCTCATCCAAACGACAAGACTCCTTTTCTCGAATGTCCAAAGTAACCAACGAGCAATTAAAATTATTGACCATAATTGCGTCCATGCATTTACTCTTTAAAATGCCTACATCCACTACAACAGGAGTTATTTCAATAGCGATTCGTACCAAACTTAATTTTGTCCACAGCTCAAAGATTACTTATTTAAAATTGATATATATCAGCGTTCAGAGACTCTATTTGAATTACGATAGCGACGAAGGTTTCAAGAGTGATGTGAATTTGTCGCGTGTTTTCATAGGTTTACTTTGACACATAGAAACTCAACCATTAATGAATAAGATGTAAAAGCACTAGACATTAGTAATAAACTGTGAAAATAATGTATGTGGGAAAGCGACCAGGTTTATTACCCCAATGCTCAATTAAGCCGATTGGACTAATTAGGATACTGAAGTATAAAAGGTCGCATGTGTACGACTGTCAGAATAGGCTTAAGTTAATGCTTAGTAGAGCTGTAAACGTCCTCTAGTTTACAGCCAGGTTGGTCCGGATTTCAGCAATACAGGGCTACATCATTCATCCACAGTTTCATGCATGCGAATACTACAAATTAAGTTGGACTTGCGATTCGGATTGTGCTTTTATATTAAGCTGCTAGTTTAACCAGCATGGCTGGTATTGTAACTATGTTGTCGTTGTTGGTGTTTTTGACGACAGGTAATTGTGAGTATTCGGATCCAGTACCTCTATATGTCGGAACCATGTTCCCAAAGTCTAATCATTGGTTCAGGAACTATGGTAATTTTTTAACGCTTCTATTTGAATACGCGTTTGAAGAGATCAATAATAGAACAGATATATTAGATGGATACAGCCTTAAAGTTATTCCTAAAGATTCGCAGGTGAGTTTCAAATATTTCTAGATTCTTATGAGTTCACCTAGAGTATGGGGATGGATCTTAAGCGATAATACCTGTTTTCTTTTGTTTCAGTCCAATTGAAATTATACTAAATTTTTGTTCCGTTTTTCATTAGCTTTTATTTGCAATATAACCACTTCAGTTAGGCTTTAACGACAGCCCTCTTAAACGTCAATTTAACCTTTTGACTGAAACAAAAGAAAACTCCTTATAGGTTTTATCGCTTGAGATCCAAACCCTATGTGAGGCGATAGCAGCCCTAGTCAAATAGCCAAAATGTCTTATTTAAGTCTACCATGACACAATATATCCGTTTCCTTCCATACGAATATGACAATCTAAACTAGCCATTTGTCGCCTTAAGATTCCATATTGGCAGGTTGTGCCCATTTTTGCAAGATTGAGTGATCATGATACTTGTTTACTTTTGCTCGCACTTTATGCTTTTTATTGCAATTGATTCATATTTCCTCCTGTAAAAAAGCTAGCCATATTGTTGATATCGTTGCCTATCTATACATCATCCCAACGTAGAGCAGAAAAGCAGGATTCAGTTTTTTTTCTTATATGATGATTATTAAACACGATGAAATGACGTCTGACAATTCAGCCTCTTTTATGTCCTACATCTTTTAGTCATGTTAACTTTTTAAGTTTAGAAATCGTGGAATTAGATGATGGCCTTATGTGATAAAGCATACTTGCGTTTAGTGGCGTCAGCAAACACTTAATTTCAGAGAAGGGTCACATAAGATAATTCATGGATGGAGTCGAAAATTGATGCCCAATAAAACGTAGATGTCGTATGGAATATCGAAATGTTTCAAAAAGGGAGTTAGTGTCCCCACTACACAGCAGGCCAAAAAATAATCCCATTTTGAATACCAAAATGTCTATCACGTACTCTTTCTCCTTTATTGACACTGTTTTTTTCTGTTAATATTAGGGGATTCCCGGTCTAGCAGCTAAAAAATTCATGGAGTTAATCGATGAACCGCCAACTAAAATTGCCATGATTGGCCCAGCTTTATCCGATGAACTATTAGTAGTTGGACAGATTCCACAATACTACAATTTGTTAGAGGTAAGACTGTTGAACAAATTTGGATGGTGGTAACGCCAAACACCCGAACTCAAATTACTAAACATTTGCCACAAATTTGATATTGCTGTAATTTTGGATGAGTGATTTCTACAGAAGAAATCTCATGAGTGAGTGATCTCATTGAAAGTATTGTTTTTGTTCGGTGTTGACGTTGGTTATGCGTTCTTACTCAGAATACTAAATGTAGAAAGATTCGTTCTATTGATGTCTCGAATTTTTCTTTTAAAATTCAAAACTTTCGGTCAGTTGTAGGGAATTTCGTGATCTGTAACATTAGCAATATCAGTTTTTGCGCACTTGTTTTAATTCCGGTTCGATAAGGCAGTTGCCTTCAAATATAATCATGTATATATTAATATCTGATGCAAATGACTTATGTTTAATAGAATATTGCCATTACTTGAATGATTAATGGGATATAAATAAGCAACATCATCTGGGAATACTACTTAGAGGGACAGGTTCACCATCCGCTTGAACAATCCTAGCTTAAACTCAGAATTGGATAAATTTCTAAATCACAGTTCGAGCACCTTCTCAATTTAAGCCTTCAAATCCACGGGTGTACAGATATATCCGCGTTTGAAATTTAAATAAAACGATTCGTCATTTTTTGAGACACTGCCATATATAGAAAATACATATATATAAAAAGAAAGTGAAATTTATAGTTTGAGGTAATTAAGAAGGAATTAGGCCATTTTCGTACATTTCTAATACTTGTGAAGACTATTAAAATATATATTCAAGACCCAACTCCCTATATGGATGTGAATTCCATGTGAACCAAAGAGTGTAGTTATTAACTGAGGTTAACGAGCCACGGTGGCTCCAATGTCACAGATTCATATGTTGTGCAAGCTGCAAATAGAAGATACGAAAGCACAGGCCAAGGAGAATATTTAGCGACACCAATTGCTGTTAATTGAGGCGTAAAAAAAATTCCAATTTTTACTTGTACCCTCCAAAAAACAAAACAAGAGAAAAAAAATAAAACCAAAAGCAATTTCTGAACTAATGTATACATTGAGATTAATGGGAAACCAACTATAATTTACTACATTAAGTGATCAGTTTACTACGCCAGGGTAATTGCTCCGAACCATCACAGTCCTTTACACAGAATACTAAGTTTATACTGGTTCTATAATATTGATGTCGCAAATTATTCCTCTAAAACCCAATACTTTTGGGTCCGTTGAAGAGCATTTCATTTTTGGGTATAGCTCAAAGCCAGGTGGTAGACACAGGTTATGGTAATAGTATTCCAGGATTAAGTGTCATTATAATTTACTGTTTTTAAGTGATCAGTTTACTACACCAAGATGATTACTTCTAATGATGATGTTTGAGGGTTTTAATGATATATCGCGTTTGTCTGTAAATTCAATCGATAACATCATAAATTATTTCCATTGGGAATAGCTTATTTTTCTAAATTAGAGTGGTTCGGATTTAAGGCGTCGCCTTGTATACAAAAAATACTGTTAAAAAGAGCAAAAACACTTTGTCACCGCCCTCCTTTAAATTAATGCTCTATCACATTCGGCAATCCTCGTCAGTTTCCGCCAGCTTATATGATGCAGAGCGCTAGTGTTACTTTCACGGTTATAGGCTTTTTGTCTCCATGATAACCTGTTCTTATGTAATAATCTATACTCCTCTTTATAACCTTCCATCTTTAATGCAAGACTGTATTATATCCGATGTTATTAAGTTTGTCACACTACTGAGTTTTGTTTTAATTCCGTTTGAAACTGTCAAGGGACATTGGACGTGCATCGTCTAACTCTGGTACCTTTACCTTATGATAGAATCTGAAACAAATGAGATGCATAAATGTCACTTTTCCATTCTTAATCCTTTCTAAATTAAAAAAAAAACGTTTACAGGGTAAATTCTGTCCTCCTATTCCCCTTCAACAAAAAATGTAATGTCGTCAATTTCAGTTTTTACCATTCTCACGGGAAGTTAAAACTAATGAGGTTATGATACAAGCTATATCTGCGGGGAAGAATATCAATTATAACTTGGAAGTAACAGAATCTTATCATCCACGGTAAACTCTTGATGAAATGCATTAGACCCGAACATCTGGCCTTGATGCCAAAAAGTGTAACGAAGAGACGCTATCGAGTGCTGCACAATGGAACCCGTTAATCCGCATATTTCCGTTTTATATCCCTTCCCGTCGTACGCAATCCGTGGTAGACGAAGGCATTCGCCATTTTCGCACTTAGGTGCAGGATCTGAGCTTAGCGCATAAAATAGCAAAATAGCTCGAAAAGAGCCTCTATTTTAGAAAATAAAATAGCTATCCCAAAAGTTGCCTTTAGAACGCTAAAATAATGTAGCGCATAAAATTCATTTGGGTCTTGAACATATAGTCTTCAGAAGTACTAGAAATGCACGAAAATATATATTATTCAATAAAAATAACTCAAATTAGGAATTTCACTTTCTATTTTTTTTCTGCTTGGCAGAGTCTCAAGTAATGGCGAGTCGTCATTTTAACTTACAAACGCGGATAATTGTGGACACGCATAGATTTGATGGCTTAATTTTGACGGTGAGGTGTGAATACTAATACTGATAAGCTAAGCTAAATAATTCTTTCTGACACTAAGTTACGATTGGTCAAATGAATCGCGAACCTGTATTACAGGTAGACAGCTCGATAGATAAAAAGATAGATTGTTCAAATTTATAATTTCAATAACATACCATAGCATAATAAAAACAATACAATAAAACAAATTACTTATGAAAATAGTCAATGATAGTAGTTTGGTTTCCCTTAGAGCCTTTGTATGACGAAATTAATCATGAAATGATATAGACATTTCTTAGTTCGCCGATATTATTTAAAGATCAAATATTTCCTGGATAGTGACAAAAATCCATAAAAAACCCGATCGATTGGGTTTGTTAACAATTAATAGTTTTCAATCTTTAGTCTGTTTTAGTTCTGCAAAATGTACTTGCGATTGTAAAAAGGTTTTATAAATTTTGTGTGGATTGGGGACACTGATAGCATTAATTCGCACCATTCCAATTTTCAATTAGACGTCTGTGGCTCCTGCAATTTCAAGAGTCAAAGGACTCTGATTCTGATTCCAACACTGAAATCATCTTAAGTTCGGTTTTCCAGAAGGGTATTGGACGTCTATTTTATTCTAATTTATTTTGCAGATGTCCTTCATAGCTCGAACACCAGTTCTGCTAGATAGAAAAGCTTATTCGTCAGTTTATATGACTAACTATTTGGAGGAGGCCTATAATCAAGTTAGAATAAGTTTGATGAAACATTTTAAATGGAGTCGAGTTGGAACGTTGGTTTTTCAACAGACCCTTTTTACATCGGTAAGAAAAATATAAATGATAAATGTAGTGGTGATTCTAATAATGACTATGTCTTATGTGCAAAATTTCTGACATTTTCTGTGGTGCAACGTTTGTCGATCGTCGACCAGATGCGTTCATGTTGCTTTTTTTACATCGTTGGCATTTTGTGTTTAAAAAAACCGAGTTGCACTCATCCAGACTGCCGTCACTTTTGTATGTGTATCAAGAACACTGATAGAGTCATTTTGCACCATTTCAATTTTTAATCAGACGTCTGTGGTTCCTGCAATTCCAGTGTTCGATGGTGTCACTAATCGCGAAGGACCTCATGTTATATTTAGCTATTAGTGGCGTCATCAAACACGTAGTTTCAATGGAATTGCAGGAAACACAGACATCAGATTAAAAATTGGAAAAGTTATGGCTGAACCTAGAATTTATCAACGGATTAAGCCGTTATTTGGACGGCTGTATCCCTTTAAAATATCAAGTAATTGTAGATTTCTCATTAATTTCTTTTAAGCAAATAACCAAATTTCACGACTTGTTGAAAGATAATAACTTCACATTGGTGACCTCGGGCATTATCACAGATACTAGTCAAATATCGGAACATATACAGAGACTAAAGGTATGTAGAGTCATTTCCCATTGATAGTTTGATAGTTTTGATAGACTGGTCATTTCTTCTCGATTGATTGGACATTTCTTCCCGATTGACTAGTCATTTCTTCTCAATAGACTGGTCATTTTTTCTCGATGAATTGGTTATTTCTTCTTAATAGACTGGCCTTTTTTCCTAATAGATTGGTCATTTCTCTTTGATAAAATGGTCATTTCTTCTTGATAGATTGGTCATTTCTTCTTGATAAAGTATTAAGTATGAAGATAGGCGTATGAGGTAGTCTATATAATATGGTTTCTATTTCAGCAATATGATGCCAGAATTATTATTGGAGCATTTAGAAGTACGGCTGCACCGTACATTTTCTGTGAGGTAATAATAAAATATAAAACTTTTAACCCATCGTGACTTAATGGTTTTTGGGGCTGTTGGTTTATTGAGTTTTTCATTTTACAGATTATACATGTATAGTGATGCGGACAGAACTTTTCAAATTTGCCGATCAACGGGCCAGATATAGGAAACCCCTTAGCACGAGCCTTCGTAAACCATATTAACGTTTTTTGAAACTGACACCATTTCCAAAGCGTATCCTCGAACCATGTCTATCAATGGCAAAAGAAATCGATTTTTTGATTGCTAATTATTTCCTTTGATAATTAGCCACGTCATGTTTAAGTTCGTCAACGGAGTGCTGAAAATTTATCGGTCAATGGATAAATTTGCCGGTTAAAGAGAAGTACTTTATTAGCGAGTTCTGCACGTTCAGTAATCAACAGAATGTTCAATAAAACCAGAGTTCAGAGCGTGTTCCAATTTGTCCAAATATTGCAGACTTCAGAATGCGTAATGTCGGAGAAGGAAATAGATGGGAACATTTTGAATGCAAAATATTCCGCTTCCGTACCGTTCGATTGGGGACATACAGAACCCTCCAATGCAGAACCACCTTGGTTAATCACCCTATGATCTGATTTCGACTCCGGATTGAGAATGAAACCGAAACAAGAAAGAGGACATTTCCATTCGCAACTCAATTATGAACTTGGACAATTTAGTATCTTAATCCAAACCAAAATAAATTTGCTCACGAAAGATTGTCAAAAACGCCACCCAGTCGAGTTCTAACTTTGAAATTCCTTAACAGGATTACTTGAAATACCAACTTCATGTAAGCAATTCTGTAGTCGTAATGGAGAGCTCCTTGATAAATACAATACATCTGCTTCTGACACTTTGGCTGATTTGTTTGGTTAGGCATGAATTGATCTAGTTCCTCATGATTTTGGCCTTTGTAGTAGTGGTGGGTGTCGCGCGCGAAGCAGACTATGTTTACTCTTTTCGAAACACCTAATGGTACTCCTCTCTGGAGGAGTTCACTACCGTAATACCTTTACGGATTTTTATTCATAAAAATATGATCTTGATCCATTTCAAGGCATATAAACAAGGACTATATGGTAGTAAGTATGTATGGTTATTGGGAGGTTCGTCCATGTATCCTGATTGGTTAGAGTTTGAAGATACGGGCAAGTATCCTTGTAAGAAATACCAAATTGAAGAAGCGGCTCGAGGATACATTACCATCGATCACAGACGATTGAGTTCTTCTACTGGAGTAACTTTTTCTGGATGGGTGAGTTCTTAGTGTAAAAAAATATCGTAGGTTGCATTGTTGAGACGAATCCTAAAGTATCATCGGCAAATATCAACTTTAAGGAGTTTCCGAAAGAGGTGTCGGGATGACACAATCAATCGCAGAGTGAAGTCAGGTTCCGAGCCCAACCTGCCCTGTCTCATTCAATGACACCCCTATGCAAATGGTTTGCTGTTTGCCTTGAATGATTTTACTTGCAGAGGAGTAGGACGTAAAGCTCCATTCAATTCATTTCATTTTGAACGACTTTACTGTAGAGCTACCATTGTAGTTTTGTAAGAACTCGATTTACTAGTATGGGATACAACGGTATTTCCCAATTTAACTGAATTTGATGACATTCGTATTTGGATTATATTTCATATTTTAGCTGATTCATTACGTGATTGTTCGTATAGTGTCGGCTTCTTTTAATTTGTCTTGCCATGTTTAGCCACCAACAGGGAACAGGACTGTAGCCCACAACCGATGATCGTATCTGTTACCTTGTCTTGCACGCTGTTTTTATCGTTTCAGACTCCCGAGGACTATAACACCATGATGAATCAGCGCGTGAAGTCGACCAACTATTCTTTATCCAGATCTCATCCATTGGCATACGATACTGCTTATGCCTTAGCCATGGCTTTGAATAACACTGCTGAGCAACTGCATAAGAACAATGCCTCACTTGGTGATTTCAACTACGGCGATTCATTGACTGGAGACCTGATTAAAGCTAGCTTGGAAAATGTTAGCTTCGATGGAGTTTCCGTAAGTATCACTAATTTAGAATAACATGATTATGAATAAAAACAAATATTTATAGTATAACGATAACTCATCATTATATTAAGCTTATACTCATTTGATAATAAAGTAATGAACCGATGACTATGATAATCGTTTAATGAAATGGAATTTACGTCATACTATTCTGCGTCTTGATTGGGCAAATTGGTATAATTTATGCCGTTCATAGGTCAATATATCTAGAAGTAGCGAATTGTGTGGCAGTTTCACTTCATGCCATATTACTGTGAGGTTCAGATTAGAGGGAATCCAAACCATATTTTGCCTTTGCTTATGTATCAGAGACCCTTATAGAGTCTTTTTGCATCATTCTCATATGACTGTATGTCTGCAGTTTCTGTTATTTCAGATATATTTGACAAGATTAAGACGACGCTTACGCAAATATAGATCCTTGTCGAATCCCTTTAGGTTAAAAATTGATTATCTATTCGGAAAGGGAAAGATAAGAGGAATTGGAATTACGTCAGTGAATAGGCTTAAAATATATCTATAATCCAGTTTTATGCCAAAAGGAGTAATACGTTTTGAAATTGCCTTATTTCTGTACTAAAGCATCCAGGAAAATTTTTCTTATGAATTCGACCATTTCCCTCAATTAAGACTGCCTTTAGCCTAAAGTTCAATCCCCTTTACAAACAAGATAAAGATGATGGTTTATTATAAGATTAAATCTTACATGTGAAACCTTTTTTCCTCAATGTTGCAGACACACTCAGCTTTAAAAATTCTTTCTTCTTTTGTACATAAATAATATATCAAGTTCACATTGTAAAATCATTCTTGTTGTTTCCAAGGTTAAAATAAAGGGATTAATCATGTCTGTATGAACCTCATATGCTTACGCTTTTTTAAATTTTTTTTATCATATTTTCTATAAAAAACCCTTGGACGCTGTATGCCGTGATCGTTTTGTTACAAAAGAAAGGACGATGCATTTGATTTGCATCCAAATGCTTGACAAAGCGCCACGCTGTGCACATCTAAGATACCTCCACAGTTCAGATGGGGAAATAAGCAGACTATTCCACTGTCACAGCACAATTTCCATTACTGCAGACTGCAAGACGTTGTTCGGTTGCACTAGTCCGGAGTAGAAAAATGCAAATCTCCATTCCATTGTCCGAATGTTTTAAAATAATGAATCTTTGCCAGATTAAAACACTTACAGCGAACTCGTTTTACTTTGTAGGGGCCAGTTTCGTTTTCCAACGATGGAGGTAGAATTGGTATAGCCTATATTGAATATAATGAAGGTAATTCTTTTTTCACTGCAATTTCAAGCTTGCATTAGATAATTATGGCGGAACCTGGCAGGTTTCTGCAGCTGCTTTTTTGTTACGGGTTAGATTTTGCTTTCAATCGACCAAGTGGTAAATGGGAAGAGTTAACCCTGAAAAGTTCATTCCCCAGATTGGCATTATCCTCTACAACATCAAGAGTTATTTCAATGAAAAGCATTGGGGAATTCTTTGCTTTTCAGATAATATTAGAACACCTATTGCCACCTACGATCCGAGAACAGATCAAATAACGTGGATGAAAGATGATATTGCTCTTTTTAAAGGTATGTATACGTTTAATCGCATATTTTAAGTCTTCTGCGAATAAATCAAAAGCAGCATCTGCTTAACTTTTTTTCGTCCTTCGACGTTGCAAATCGAAAAAGAGCAGACTAATGTCACTGTGCTGGAAAATTTCCCTCATTGCATGGCTCTGCTTGTCTTCATTAGCCCAGAAAAGTAGGACGTAAAACTCCATTTATTTAATTTTTTCTTGTTCAACTTTGTTTCCTATATATAGAGAACAATATGTATCCCTTTATCGTTTTGATGCAAATTGCCTCTTGTCGAGGTGAGATTTTGCATTGCGCATATATATAAAAAGAATTGAATATTCCAATGCAAAGTAAAATATTTATGAAACTCAAAAGTTCCTGTATAATGAAAATGATTAGTGTCGAAGAATACAATATAGAATCTAAAATTCATGATTTTATTCCAGGAATACCGGCACCAAAAGATAGATTTACATATGTTGAAATTTATGAACCTTACAATATGGCATCATTTGTAATAGTAATATTGTTGAATTCGGCTGGTGTTATATTAGCTCTATCAGTCTTAGCATTTAACATCATGTTCCAGAATAACAAGTAAGTGTAGCAAAATGACGTTATTGTAGCTCTATTAGTTTCAGCTTTCAACATTATGTACCAGAATAACATAATAAAGTAAGTGTTAGACCGGACTTTATGAGGAAGCATTTCTACTGTTAGGATTCAAGAGATGTTTCCCTCTACCTATTATATATCTATCTATAACTTTTATTGTGTAATTCAACTTGGAAGGGAATGTCTGTATACCTCGGGTAATTTAAAAAGAACCTTGACCAAATTTTGGCAAAATCTTCGCAAATTACATAAAACGGCAAATGGTACTTGATGACGATAGTTTTTGAATGGTGCAAACAGATGCCATTATAATGTGTCCAGAAACACTTACACATATTTAGACAACACATTTAGGTTTTGATAAACCAACATGGTATTGTTTTTCAGGCATATCAAGATGTCCAGTCCTAAGATGAACAATATTATAATAATGGGATGCTTAATTATGTATGCTGCCGTTTATATCAATTGTATACAATATGCCAGGCTGTATTCACCAGAGTCTAAAGACAGTATATGTATGGTAAGTATGTTTATATTTGATATATACCAATTATTCTTACCTCAAGGTGTCCTCACACTATAGCGATCAACAGTTGCGAATAAGAATAGCGGTCTCATCTAACTGAGTTGTGAGCTGCGTTTGGACCTAATGTCGACTTTAATTATTCGCAATCGTACGCAACTATGGTATGTGGATAAAGCTGGTGAACGCTGCAATTGAATTTCTAAAGGGGGTTTTGTAGACCTTGTTTGTATATCGCGTACATCCACAGACTTTAGCTACACAATTCTGATTTCCATTCCGACGTCTATGGTTCATGTAAATCCAGAAAAAATAAAATAGATTAAGTCAGTGCCAAAACGAAAATCAAGTTTATTGAAAAAACATTAAAAATTTTGGTGATGAAATTGAATTGAGCATTTTCATTTTAAAGAAATTCGGTTTGGACTATTGTTAACCTTGAAAATCTTTTTTCTTTTTTCAGCTGAAACTATGGATATCACTTCTTGGCTTTACATTAGCATTTGGTGCTCTGTTTTCCAAAACCTGGCGTGTCCACGTTGTATTTAGAGAAACATCATTGAAGAAAAGGGTAATGATGCAAAATACAGAAAACATTTGGGATTTAGCGGATATTCGTTAAAATGATTAGAAAAAATTGCGAGAACATATTTAGCTTCTACTTTGGCCATTTAGAATTTCCATCCGACGTCTTTTATATCAGCAAAACTATCCATTTAAAGTTGAGACGTCTGTGACGCAAGAAATTTTACATAAAGGTCTTTGAACTTGACAAGATTATGACGTCACTGTCGCAAGTACCATTCAAGTAATCAAGGACAGGAACTCAGGATTGACGCTGGTAAAAGTTATCAATTCTCGTATTGATAGACATGAACATGTGTTTGAACCCCTTTGAAAGGCAGTGGTTGTTGACAGTGCTCTGGCAAAATTTCCATCCTTGTCGGCTAAATGGCAATGACGGCCAGCCAAAAAAACTAACCGAAAACAGATTTCATTTTATTTTAGTCCTGGCTATAATCGTAATATTATCTCAAATTTATTTTTAAGTCTATAAGAGATCACAAGTTATATGGAATGGTACTTATATTAACATTAATAGATCTACTTATACTGATTCCATGGACTATTCTCCATCCACTTATTGATACTGAAATCAAGGTCAAGTCTGATGTAAGTGAATATTAAAAACATAAAGTCTACGAACATCTTCAGGTTTCTACTTTACCATTCAGTTTAACTTGCTTGTTTGGTTCGTGGGGTTCGTTGGTTAAGATTAAATACTCTCTTTAACAAAAGAGTCTTTTCACCTTAAACAGCAAGTGGTTTTTCCCCATCTGAGCGGCTGTTTTCCAAATCAGCTCCTCCACACTGCATCACTGACAGGAAGAAAATAGGCTGACAAAATTGATCAATTTATAAACATGTTATGTTGAGCATTGGTGAAGGTGAACATCAAATAAAATTATGGGACCTCGGTAGTTATTAGAGTTACAAGCCTGCTTATGAGTTGAATAGATCTGAATAATAACAGATTTCTCTCGATTTCAGTCATACAGGTCGAAGGGACTGATATGCAAAAAGGGGTTCATTCAGCTTTAGATACCTCTGTTGTTGAAAATCACAAAAAGATAATTGTTATTCTTATTCCGCGGTCTCGATTTCCTTCACTACGCACGTAATGGCATTTACTCAGAAAAGCATGAGTTATTTCAAATTCATTTATATTTCAGTCTCTCTCTGATGACGACACCATTGTGACGTTAATTTACACAGATTGTCGACATCCGTATGGTATTTATTGGTATGCTTCTGAATATATCTACAAAGGTCTTCTACTAGTCTTTGGCACCTTTTTAGCCTGGGAGACCAGAAAAGTCAACGTTCCTGCCTTAAGTGATTCCAAATTAATCGGATTCTGTGTCTACAACATAGTTGTCGTCTGTGCCTTTGCAGTACCAATTTCCCATGCCTTATCCATCCAGCAGACCAATTTGATGTTCGTACTAATGTCGTTGTTTACAACTTTTTGTACCACATTGGTGCTGTGTATCCTCTTTTTTCCAAAGGTGAGTAAATTACCTATATCATGCTGCCAGCCCAAGTTAGACACCCAGTCGTCCTAAGGACAGATGGATAATGGATTTGGAAATGGGGATTAACTTTCAAAATTTGAAATTTTAATCTGCATGTATACGCAAACTCACTTAGCACAAGTTAGAAGTCGACAACTTTACAAAGGACAAATCATGGATCTCCAATTTTTTTTATAACAATATTTATCATCCGGTTCAATGCATCAAAACCCATAAATATGTTTTATTAATGTGTAGATGAACAATCGTCGGTATTTCATTATCTATGGTACGTTATATTCTTTATGGGTTGATTTCAGTTTAAACTTCGAAATGAATCTGGTGACATAAGGTTTGCTCAAAGTCTACAGAGTCGCTCAAAGATAATAGAGAGTACATGTGTCACAAATACTGTCTTTGAACGTTTTGGCGAAGTAACACAATCAACGTTAACAGCAAGAGCACCCATTGTCGTGTCAGGTACGGAAATACATTATATATCAAAATCGTTAGACAACTGAAACGCCAGTCTCTCAGCTCGACTCTTAAAAGTATGTTTGTTGAATAGTTTGATTCGTTTCGTACCAGCAACACCAAGCAAACAACAATCTTATACGCTACTTTCTGGGCTATGTTACTGCTACGTTTATAAACATTTATATCCACAAGAAACATGCCATCAAAACTATTCATTGCTGGGGGAAAAAATGAAAATGTAAGACCAATTCTACATTTTTAGCAACGTTGAACGTCGTTTATCACATCTAACCGCTGCTTTCACAACAAGATATTCTTAATGATAATTAATTAATAATCTCCCTTTACCACACGTCACCATTTAATTTATCCAATCAGCAATCGGTATCATTCGGAGTAAAGTATAGAAATAGAAAATGGCGGCCAATAATTGAGAACTGTTGTATTCTCGCAACGTATCCCTTCTCTTTGAAGGCGCAATGCAAAATGATGTTTTTTGAACTGTCCCAGATGCGAACAAATATAATGGATACGACTTTACACTGCCTTGCCTGATCATTTCAAAACTTCCTCGGTTGCTCTGTTACAGAAAAAATAGGTGAAGTCGTAAACAATAATAAAGCTAGTGAAGAAAAGAAAGAAACGGAAAAACTTCGAAAAGAATTAGTTGCTGTAAGTACAAAAATGTTTGATTCAGAATTATTTCAAACGTTTAGTGAACATTATTTTGGCTTATTAAGATGTGCAACGTTTATGCAGTGTGCACTGAAGGAATTTTAGCCAGGACAGCGGCATCAGCCTTATTTTATTTGATTTCCAACCATCGATGGATCTTTCTAAACGTGCACATCATGTAGCACACAAGTTCATGGTTTTTGTCTTATCAGAACTACTTGACGCTTTTTCCATGTCAGCATGTCTTGACACATATGGATCTGAAGACTCAAATTTCGACGGTGAGCTTTGAACCCCATAACTGATTTACTAAGCTAAAAAAATTCCACTTTATGAGACTAAAGTAGGATTGGTGAAAAAATGGCCTTCCTGTCCCTTTAATTCTTCACAATTGTTTTTCAGGAGGCTAATGCTATCGCTAAGCTTAAACTAGATATCAGCAAAATAACAGAAAATGAAGTATATTTCCACAAAGTCAACGGGAAATACGTAGTATTTAAACAGGCAGATTTGGTAGATTCGGAGTTATTAAGTGTTTAATAATTCTGAGGTTTTGCGTTTATCCATTGTAAACGAATGGCGAGAAGTCAGCCATCATTGCTCCCAAGTGTAGGAATACGTCACTGATTTTGTGGTTTTGATAAAAAAAAGACGTGCAAGCTTGGTCGATGTTGTCCATAAGTGTTATAATGTGTTCTTATACGACTAAAACGGTTCAACTATACATTCGCAAAGTTGTTGGTAATGGACACTTTCATTGCAGTCAATATTCCAAGAAGTTAATTGAAGTTTGGTTTCCTAAACTGATAGTTAAACAACATTTGGCATCACAAAAATTTGTACAAAGATTTTAACTTCACATTTCTCTTTGATACAGATAATCCTTCCACATATAATTTAATATGGATGTGAAGGTAATTGAAGACTATAGCTTACTTATGAGTTGAGGCTAGGGCCTATTTTCATTTTTACTTAATCGGCTAATATATGTGATAGTGACGCTTTCGAGTCAAGTGACGCCGAAGTGACGCCGAAGTGCCGCAGACGATTATTTTACCTCAAATAATGTTGTTTATTTTTGATGATCTTTAAAAATGGTTAATATTTTTGTCTTGCCTTAATAAATGAATATAAATCAAAGTAGTGTTTAATGCATTAGTAGAAAGAAATTTTACTAACAAATTGAGATCGAATTCAACCAATTGTCGTATTTTTTTGTAGAAAGATAAGAAAGCAAGGAACAACTAGGTTATATTTTGCAAGGATAACAACTTAACTTCACAAAGGATGCTTTCTACCAGCTGGTCCTTGTCTAAATCTCTAAACATTGATCTTTCCAGGATTATCCGTACCAGCTGGGTAGACTGTAATTATTATGAGTGAATATTATGACTTATTCAAGTTCATCGTGAATTTCACACGCCGACTGAGATTAACCCAGGACCACCATTTGTAGCCAAGCATTACTTTGCTGATTTTACTTGTTATCTCTGATTTGTTTCTCAATCTGGATACGTTCCATAACTTTCGAAACATTTAATTCCAGTATAGATTGCAAAAGGCTAGCGAAACTTTGGCTACTCCCATAAAGGATCTGAATCCTCGAATGACTATTCACTTTTGCAAATAAGTGGTAGACTGCCTCAATGGGGGGATAACTGTCGAGGTTGAATTCAAAATGCGACAGCGTTAGAAAAGGTTCTCCCTCAAAGAGAAAATTTTAATTTGGTGCATTCTGACACATTAGGGCGAAAAGGGTATAAAAATCAAACTTTAAAATTTCTATTGGTACTATTGGCGATATTGTGACTATAACGATGAACCTTTAGTGTTTCTCTGCTTCCATTTACCAATCTACCTATACAAACTGGTACGAAGATGCCAACAACATCCGGCGTACAAGAACATCTGACCTTGAGGGTCAATGATTTAAGGGTTTGTAAACAAAGAGATAACCAGATTCGCTGTATCATGTTGTTCAATAAGGTGAATATCTAATCCTTATCAAACATATTCAATATTTGATATAGATTGAATAAATAATCCCTGTTAAACTGGATTAACCTCATAACCCGGTTAGGATAATCTCTTGCAACATCGCTAAGAGAGTTGATGGCGCTTAGTACTAAAATAAAGTATACCGCAGAGGCGAGAGGACCCTATGTTTTAAACTTCATTTTTCAGAAAGATACATTTCTAAAATGTATGTATCATTCTCAGTTTGGCACATTGTACTCAAAAAAGTTAGTACAAAAAAACCTCTTAACGGCACACCAGGATCTATAAACCTGGTACGTTTGTGAGAAGTGAATTCCTTCCTTTGAAAATGAGTATAAAATAAATTTTACGTCCTATTTTCAGTTTCTTGATCGGTCAAATTAGAACAGAAATGACTAGAATATTATTAACTAAGTATTAAATATACTGAGGGACGTTCAAAAACTACTAAAAGTACTATTTCAGAGTTCTTCTACAGTTCTCAGAAAGATACGCTTGAACAAATGCAGCATGTTACCGAAGTTATTTTGGACATTGTAATTACAAATTCCGAAATGATATTGAGCTGCTTACTTGTGTTATTCCAGAGTCGAGGCATTAAGCAGTTATTACTAGTGCAGCTTAACACGTAAAATAGGAATTATCTGAGTGTGAAATTTTGCCCTTAATGTGACACTTCACCGATATATTTTAAACTACAGTTTAAAGTTCGATAAGTGCTAGAATTATTTCACATGTGCTCTACTTAATCTGAAAAGTATTACGTTTTGAATTTAAAGTTAGATAGTATTAAAATCTAAGACTTCATCAAATGTTTAGTTTAGCATCATTTTTAATGATATCACAAAGTTTCATAGTTACATCTACACTTTATGGCAAGCAGCTCACACGTTTCATAATGCAAAATGATATTAAAAGGCATGATTAAAATAATGGAGAAAATCGTTCTAAATATTTACTTTACCGGTTGATGGAGCTCTACGTGTATCAAATTAACAAATTGTAATCTGAAGTGAGTTTCATTTACAATGAAATCAAATATTAAAATATCTTGGAAATACATTGACTTGAGATATATGGGCGGTCTGACCAATATTAGACCAAAATTTCGTTCCGTATTTTTATTAGCTTTTATTTTGAAAAATCAAAATTGCGATAAAGATCAGAATATTATCATTACTTCAGAATGACTTAAATTTAATATATCAGACATGTGGTGTACCAAAACGAAGAATTGTTAAATTCACTTTCAAAATTACTTCAATGTAATATACCTACCATCAGAATTTACTAAAGCTACTGCCCAATTGTTAAAATCGACAGCCGTAATTGCTAAAACTATGGAATCTAATGCCAAAATTACGAAAAAAAATCGGCTGATTTGAAAGATATAAATAAATACTCATTTATAACTAATGATAATTATGTACTTTGTAAAAAAAAAACGGTGACATCGTATCTTTAAAAGATAACGAAGTATCTAATCTAGTCAGTTAATATGTACTCGAAAAAAATATCATAATCCAATCACAATGTAAACATGGGTCGGAATATGACAATCACAAGTACCAAAACAGCTGACAGGTCATGTGCAATGCCATGTGGTTTGTCAGCAATTTTGGGGGTCACATGGGCCAAAAAGATAACAGATTTAAATAGTATATAAGTTGTTATTTCTTCATACATAATCACTTTCAGCTGATTTTGTTTTGTTATCAGTCATACCAAGGTAAGTTGTTATTAGTTTATTATGATTATAGTCAAGGGATTATAAATTGAGTTTCTAGTCTTTGAATGTATGTATGTGTATCAGCAATATTCTTTGTATTGAACTGTATATGTCATTGCTCTGGCATAGCTCATAATCAAATTGAAGGTTACCACAAACGCAAATTTATGGTGTAAATTGAAATTTTAGGTGCCATTAATACTCCCATAATAATTTGAATTGACAAATTCCAACTGTTCTTCTACTTCTATATTATGCTAATGCAGATTCCACAAGTTCCAGCTGCTGGCATATGCATTCAAAGGAAATCTCTGCTAAGGCCTACTGAAGGTGTCGTCCCATAATCAAAACCTCATTCCAACTTGCTGTTTTACTTTCCAATCCAAGCCTTGCTTTTTTATATCAAAGTCTCATTGAAATCCATTTTTTCAACAGATGCTTCGACTTGCGGTATTACTCGTGGCTGTTGCCATGGTTTTTGCCAAACCACATTTATTTGGCCAGGATGAAGAATGGGAATTTTTCAAATCCCAACATAGCAAAATGTACAGCGATGACAGTTATACAGAGACATACAGGTATGATTCTATCGGTCTATTAACATTTAACCCTTTGAGTCAACAATCTTACTTAGGTGTAGAAGTCGTTTAACTTGCATTAACAGTTGTAGTTACAGCTACCGTCTTTGTGTCCCTTTAAAATGATTTGTTCTCCAACAACATTTGCTATGGTTCCTTTTGCTTGTCAGAACTGGTCTTAACACAATGCGATTAAACTGACAGATATATTTGGAAGCAAGGCGAATTCAATTTTAGGTTAACAAAAAATCTACAACTTTTTTTCATCATTTGAATATTGGATGCATATTTCAGACGATCTGTTTGGGAGAAGAATTTACAATTCATCAATTCCCACAATATGCAAGCTGACAATGGTATGCATTCTTACAGACTCGGTATGAACCATCTTGGTGATATGGTAAGACCCTTCTCTTATAAAAGCTGGTTACATTAGCTCAATACGATACACCTTCGTTTATGTTTGTTTAGAACTCGTCTTACTTCTCAATTTCCAATAAAGTTCAGAGATGCAGGTTCATAGGGCTGATGAAGAAAAAGAACAATTTTAAATGGGAAAGAAAATTGCTTTCTCTTGTACTGTGCCATTGGAAATCGAAAGAGGGTAGGTTTCCCTCTGGTAACATTGGACTCAATGGACACTGCGTGGTGTAGCATATCTTGAGTAGCCCAATTGGGACTAGGCCTAAAATATTTGACTCAAAGATCCATTCCAATTGCAGACACGAGAAGAAATCAACAAAATGTTGAATGGCTACACAATGAAAACCACCAACAGTACTGGAGCTACCTTTATGCCTCCATCTAATCTTGGTGATCTTCCCACAACTGTTGATTGGAGAAAAGAAGGATACGTCACACCAATCAAGGATCAGGTGAGTCAGTTGTGTTACAGTATCATCCTTTGAACCTCTAGGAGATGTTCATCTTATACCAAACATCCAATGAGATAAACTGCATGAGATGAGATTACAGCTGTAAAAGGCTGCCCATTTGACCTGCAGAATTGTAATTGTCCGACAGAAGTGAGTTTATCCTGTAGAAAATATGTCAATTAAAACATATTCAAACCCGAGAATATGTAACTGTTCTACATCATTACCACAAAAACGTTAAAGAGAATTCGACACAATGAAAACAAGCAATTATGTTATATGAGCATTATGCCAATAATCTATACTGCTACAATTTCAGGAAAAACATCCCACTTCAAGAAGTCAGCGCATTGCTCATAGTTTTTGAAATGCCTGATTTTATGTAATCTAAATCAAACATTATTTTTTTTTCTTCCAGAAACAATGTGGATCATGCTGGTCATTCTCTGCTACTGGTTCTTTAGAAGGTCAACATTTCAAGAAAACTGGACAACTCGTCTCCTTATCTGAACAAAACTTGGTTGACTGTTCTCGACCTGAAGGTATGTGAAATATTTATTGCAGAAATCAACGCAAATCTGTTTCCCTCATTGCACACACATTGCCCTTCTGCGATAGGTGCAGAAAAGCAGAACGTAATACTATATCTCATTCTTGTCTTGTGTCGAACTAATTATTTTCAAGACCTTGGGAATTTTTTCTGAATTTCCCCTTCCAGTGGTTGAATATAACATTACAGCTTCTTGTGTCTATTTTAGGTAACATGGGATGTGCCGGTGGTTTAATGGACCAAGCCTTTTCTTACATCAAAATGAACAAGGGTCTTGATACTGAAGCTAGCTATCCATACACAGCTAGAGATGGTAAATGTCATTTCAACAGAGCTAACGTTGGTGCTACTGATGTCGGATTTACAGATATTCCACGATTCAGTGAAGCCAATCTCCAACAAGCTGTAGCTACAGTTGGACCAGTCTCAGTTGCCATTGATGCCAGCCGATCTACCTTCCACTTTTACAAATCTGGTGTTTACAGCGACCCTGAATGCAGCAGCACTCGATTAGATCATGGTGTTTTGGCTGTTGGTTACGGTACTGAAGGATCTGATTATTGGTTGGTCAAAAATAGGTAACTATGAACTTTTTGATCTTCGTTCTATTTATATTGCTCTGCAAAAATAACTTAATGTGCTATATCTTTTTGCTATTTTGGAACTTTTAAGAAGGCGTTTAATTCAAGGTCCAATTACGAAAGTAATATTTGTATTGTAACAAAATTTATAGGGGAAAATTACTTAAGTTCCTTGCAACGCCTGTCTTCAAAATGCTGGAGTAAATTCAGAACTAATTAGAAATAACATGTAGATAATCAATTTCATCAGATCGATTCCCTTAACACATCTTGTTTGTTTTTCAGCTGGGGAACTGTGTGGGGTATGGAAGGTTACATCATGATGTCCAGAAACAAGAACAACCAATGTGGTATTGCTACATCTGCTAGTTACCCATTAGTTTAAATCTCATAGGGCGAGGTGTCACCAACTGATTTAGTCTCAGCGGAAATAAAAATGGTGTTCATCGTCGTCAACCATTCTTTCCTTTCTTCTCATTGTGTGTATCAATCACTGTTACAAAACTGTTCAATAAAAATATTTTTATACTACAATTGTCCTTTAAACCTAACGTTAGTTTGGGAACATGGGGTTGATATACGACATTTTGTTGGAACCAGCCACCGTACGCCATTGTAAAGGTTAACTAAAGACCTTGACCAACACTGAAGAAGCGCTTTACTGCTTTACTGATCGGTCTTCATTGGACATTTGCTGCTTTATCTTTAACGTTTTAACTGCACGAACTCCAAAATGCACCACGGAGAGGAATAGATGATTTGTCTGTTTTAAATTCACGAAAACATAAGGTAGGATTTTACTGTTCTGATTCTCTGATTTGTCTGAACACTAAAATATATCTTCTAGATCTGGTAAATTGCTAAATCGTTGTAATTGACAGAGTTTAATTTGTGTAAAACAGGACCCTGATATTGGGATGATGTATAATGACACCAGATACTGATGATATGTATTGATATACATAATACCAATCACATAAAGTATCTTACAGGGATAACGTGATAATATTTACCGCTCCCTAGTAATCCTTTCGTCATACTACTCTAGTTTTACACCCCTTTGGCAAAATTGGGATAATATGGAACGGCAACGCAATCTAGTGGGCAATTTGTTACATTGATTTTCTTTCTTACAAACGGAGATTCGAGTCAGTCTCTGCATCATTGGTAGGGGAAACCTTGGTAAAACATATATCTTGAAATGTGTCGGGACGTAACCTCCGAAATTCAAGTAACTACACCGACGACTCTTTTGAGACGGTTACAGCAGTCACGCGTATCCGATTGTTGAAGCAATGGTGTCTTGACGTGCTTTCAACAAAATGAAGGGGTTGGTTTGTCAGTTAGGGTCACAAATATAGAGAAGGCGAACATTAATGCTTCTGTAATGACTGAGGGGGAAATTTTCTCCAGTCAACGCCCTTAAAAAAACTCTAAAGCCTTTATAAATGTGACAATAATCTTTTATTTTCAAAATTTTATACAAAAACAACAATTTCAAAACATACCCAAAACAGTGACAATATTATTATAATTCATTCAAATCAACAGTGGATGCCCATTGACTCTCCGTAGATTCACCTGCAGGTCTTTGGACACCTTCCGTTCCTGGAATTTTACAGTCAAACCACCAGATAAGAGAATAACGAGGATGAGTCCATCGGGCTTTGGAACCGTAATAAGGCACTAGTCGATGGTAGTAATCTCCCTTGAAAAAGTAATAGGCGCCATTGGTATATCGGACTGCTGCGTCGACGTTCTTTAAATATGAGAGAGTTGGATGTTTCGATATCTGGATGGGTTTACTGGCTCTTGGATTTCCAATAGCCATGAATTTGATGAGCCATAACTTGTCTCCTAGAAGAAATGCAATAATAGCACATTAAATCGACACCTTTTACAAAAAAATCAATGAAGGCTGACTAACTATGTTGCAACCAAAACGAAAACAAACGATTTTTTTTAAATGTGGTAACATCGAAACTTGAATATCCCGAGACATTTCATTTTTATGATTATCACATGACTTAATTCGGCAAATTGATCTTTCTTAGATCTTTGGATAGATCTTCACATGAAATATTGTTACATCAGGATCACTGATGATTTTATCATGCCAGTCACAAGATGAACAATGTTACGACCAAGAGAGGGAAAGCCAATCGAATAAAAGCAATGAACTTTAATATGCAGATGTTCAATAGGCTTTGATCCTGAATTGCTTCTTTATCGTTTGTGCACCAAAAGGAAAAAAATAACTGTTAGAAACAAATAGAAATTAGAAAAATAGAAAAAAAAATTTGCCAGGATAGCAGCAAAAGCCTTATACCAACTAAGTAATGGGGAAAGTGACTTACCCTCACTAAGATATATTCTCTTGTGTTTCTTGACATTAAAGGCTGTATCAATTTTCTTGACGTTTATACCAAACTTCTCTTTAATTGATTTAGGATAACCTTTTCTTAAAACGAACTTTGGTTTACCCCAATTTTTCTGATAGGTGTACTTCCAAACCTTGTCTCCCTAAAACACAAATCATAACATTAAAGATAGGAGAATCAACCTATTGTCCTTGTAGTAAATCAAAGGGGAATAACACAGAAATAAACAACAGCAAGTATTCATAAAGTGGAATGAAATGAAGGTATACGTCCTACGTCGTATTCGTATTTGACCTTTTGAGAACGCAACGAGGGACATTTATTCAGGGAAACAGAATGCTGTCGAGGACCTTGCGAGCAAGACGTGTCCAAAATGCGTAGTATCTATTTACCTGACTAACTTTCAGAAAGCAGTTTATTGCATACTTTCGATGCGTTTTTAGGTATTGAACACCATATAAGTCGTTCCATATGTCTGTCTTATTTCCAGTTCTATTGGTATGGGTGACTAATATCAAAGTACTTTTGGATACACTTACCTTAAAGATATATGTCCTGACTTTCTTGATAAAGAATGTTTTAGTGGAGATAGTCACAGCCGAGTCTACAGTTTCCGGAGCATAGGGAAAGACAGAAGAGATCAACTTTGGAAATCCATCGACAACTCCTTCAGATGTAAACTGGTAAACCTTCTTTCCTAAAATCGAATTGAGAATGACAACTCAAAAGCCCATATTTCAAGAATAGACTTGCCCTTGACTTTCTCACAAGGATACGTCTAAATGTTTCTTTTCTGGCCAATAGAGCTCATAATAATTTTTCAAGCATGAAAGTACAAAGCCTGGTTTATATTGATTACTGTCGGTCGTGGAGCACTATCGTTGTCAAAACAAAATACCTCAGAATGTTACTATTGTCACTTCATCAGTACGTCTTTATTTGTTGTAGTTTTCAAACATACCTTTGAATCCATAGGTTTTACCATCAGAACAAACGTCAATAGCATCCAGTTTACCATCTTCTGGACACCATGGATGTCGGGTTACTCCAGGAATGATCGAAGGTGTTGTTTGTTCAGTGGGTTTGGTTGCTTCGGTTGCTTCTGTGGTCGTTGTAGTTGCTTCAGTCTGAAAAACGGAAGTAATAAAGACTATTCTAGAATATATCTATGACACAGTCGGAATATAAATAAGCTTTTCCAGCTTTAAATTCCTTAAAGATCAGCTGGTAAATTAAACTTATGACTTATTTAAAGCATAAAATTCAACTTATTGAATATTATAACCCTCAGAAAACCATGAACAGAAACTCCTCGATCTTAATCTAAATCAAGTTATAATAATGCTGTTACCATCGTAGTTGTTTCAATAGTAGTTGTGGTAGCGGCCTCTGTGGTACAAGTATTAATAATAGCGGTCGTACAAACAGGTTCAATGGTATCCACAGTAGGTGTTGTGGCTTCAGTGGTAGTTTTCGTGGCTTGGGTGGTAAAACGTATCGGGGTTATGGAGCTCATGTTAAAATTTGATGATGGCGTTATTCCAGTTTTTGTATTTGCTCCTGCAAAACACATGAAAAACTAAATCAAATCGTCCGACATGTCGTGCGAAAATTTATACAGGTGAATAATTCGTTTCAGGATTTGGTCTCGAATCAACTGTTAATGGTAGAAACTGTTACTCCTCAAGAACCTAGAAACAAGAACCTTTGCTATATAACGTAATATAATTTCAACCTTTTCCACTCTAACAGAAGAAAGCTGTGTACGTAATGATCCCCTTGACATTTGAAACCGAAATAGGGCAAGCTCGGGATCACATAACCTTACCATAAATTGCCTGTATGCGGATCATGTCGTAGTCCGACAAGGAACCATTTCCACAATTTCTTCTCCACGGATACATTACTGAATCTTTTCTGTTGGTGTGTTCCAACCCCAGAGTATGTCCAAATTCATGTATAGCAACACATAACAATCTGCGACCTAAAACAGATGAACGCCACGACAAAATATGAGATCTATGCTGTGGAATCTATCACAGGCTTATTATAAAATACAAAATACAATATATAATATTATCAACGCACACGTATAAGATCTTTGATAGGATTTTTGGGTAATGTAAATACCCATTGCTCTATTTGCCTATTCTCAGAAAACACAACATGTGATGAGTTTTAAGATAAAGACTTAAAAGACATTTACCAGTTTCTTCTTTAACAAGCGTCCATCGCTCATCGTCATCAAAATGAGTATCACCAGACAATGGTACATCGGACGGTCCAGGATAGAAAGCATGAGCTACAACTCCACCAGGTCCATCGAACGGGTCAGCATCGCCATGGACTCCTTTCACAAAGGCTATTTCCATATCTGCATCATATTCAGAACGATCGATTTGTGTAAATGTCAAAGGAGTTACATCAGACCAGACCTGGAGTAAAATGAAAGTTTACAGCAGAGTAACACTGCATTGCTAGGTCGGTAATAGAATGCTGTCCTGAATCGTTGGTTTGAGATCTTTATCTTTCTTTTTCAGCCAGTATACTTAAAATTCAAACCCAAATAATTATTCACAAACGAAACAATATTCCTCACATGCAATCCATTTTGATGTCCTGAATTAGTTGGTCATTGATTGGGAAGTATTTTGATACATCTTTATACGGCATCATGGAGATTGATAACAGTTAAATCATATTCTATGTTCAACAATAAACTCTTTTTTGTTGTTAAACCTATATCATGTTTCATTTTTCGGAATCAAATTACAGTTTAATTTCAGGCTTCTATCTGAAAGCAGAGTATTTTTATTGATACCTCGACAAGTACCATATTATGTGAAATGGCCTTAGGTAAAACACTTACTTTCCAAGCCTCTTTTATAATAGCATCAACTACACCAGGTGAAAGGTCATCACTGTAAGATCCTATACTGTAGGTCAGATTGGTCTTTCTCCATCGCCGAGCTGATACTGTAAATACAATTATTTTTGTTAAAAGAGGAAGTATGTGAAAGCAAGAATAGTTTTTAAAAAATCGCGTCTCCTTTCATTAAAAAATTAATCATCACTTTCAAAAGAGTGAAAAACCATAGATTAATGGATTTCATTTGCCATCAGCTTTTAAAAGAAATTAAAGATCTGTTTTAAAAATAAAATAAAACGATTCGGATTCCCAGACTCCTATTCTACCTTAATGTCTACATTAGGTGAAGTACATTATCCCGTGTGGCATACAGTGTACCATTGTCCTAGAATTAAAACACGAACCTAAACTGTATCTACTGTATCGATTACCACGCTTATTCTCACCCGAATCCATTTTATGTATACGTGCTTGAGTTTGCTTTAACGTTATACACATTAAAGACATATTGTGAAGTTTTAGATTACGCCTTTTGATTCTGGTCTCGTAAAAAAATTGAGAAGGAGCAAGTTGAGTGAGCACATACCTTTTGTTTGCCGACGACCGCGGCGTCTTTTGGAAATTATGGTCACACTAAAATCATCCATTACATCTGGTACACCACATCTATCTGTACCCATCAGATCTAAAGTATCCTCATCAAGCTTTCCTGCAATAAACACAGTTACAGAAACGTTGAATACATGTTCTCTTAGAATTTTGATTAAAACTGTATATTGAATCATTGCATCTGTTTTTTAAGGGACACATAGGCCATTTTTTGAAAAATGATACATTAGTCTCAGAAACTGGAATTATTTAGCTGAGGTAATCAGTAATAGTGTTCACAGTTCACCGTCGAAATATGAGCCTTCAAATCCATGTGTCCAGAATTATCCGCGTTTGAATATTCAAATTGGCCCATCTGTCCCTTTTAAATATGGATAAGGATAAAATGTCACAATCTCTTCTGCTTTCACTTATTTTGATGAGGCAAATTTTTGCAAATATTCTACAGGCCCGGATTAAGACTTCCGAGATGAAGAAAAGTGGAGGTGTATTCCCCGAATACGTTTGAATTTGACGCTTGCTCGTTATTGGGACTAATATGATAAAGCGTCGGGTGGTACAGTAAATGAAGGACTCCAGTGCTTATCAAAGTATCTACGTCTATCTTTGACCAGTTGGTATGAGAACAAAAAATGCGATTTGGAAAACTAGGACATCATTGGATGGAGACACATTAACAAGTGGCGTATATAAAATTATTACACCTTACCTGTTATCTTCAGATTATTATATTCTTGGAAATTAACGATAGCCTCTAAGAGGTCATCCTTGAATGTTCTTTTGATAGGATTGAAAGAGCAACTTGATTTCAGAAATCCATATCGTCGTAAAAAATCCTTAAAACAGAACAATATATATATTTTTTTATAGGCTCATTCCATGCCGCCAATGACTTTTTCGAATTCAGAATACTCATCGGGACTGCTATGGAAGTGGGGGTTAACGTTCTAAATTTGACTCATATGAGTTAAGAAGCGAGAATATGTTCAGTGACTGTATGAGTGTTTTAGTTAAAATAATATATTATTTATAAAAGTCTTACCGCTGCAGCTACGGCTGTTCGTGGCCGATGAGGATTGTTGTAATATATCTGACAATCGGTCGGATGGGATTCCACAACCTGCAACGATGCAAAAACGATCAAAATCACCACTTTGGACCACATCGTGGAAATCAAATAATTTGGAGAATACGGTCGTCGTGGTTTATTTATAATAGGATGACACACATAATCAATTGTGATCTATAGTGACGCAGATATTTAATAATAATAAGTTGTTTAGGAAGCGACCCATTTCCCCAGTTTCCCCTACCGTACACTATATTTGCTGTTATCTTGACGCCCTTGATTTATATTTAGAAAAATGAACAATCGGGCTGTGGTTATTGTTTGTTATATTGTCACACTTAAATCAAGGATATTATTTAGCATTTATACTGATGATTTGCATAAAAACACCACCTCCATACACGATGCTGTGATCAATTGTAAATATGAAATGAAATAAATGGAGTTTTACGTCCTACTTTTCTGCACCATGTAGGCTAATGAAGACGGGCAACGCCATGCAGGGTGCTGTCTGGGGATCTTTTAACGTGCACAGCCTGTAGCATACGGGGGCCTCGGTTTATTGTCCCATCTAAATGACAAGACGCTTTTTCCATGTCACTTACCTGCATCACTGACAGAGGGAAACTGGGAGGAAAAATCCGAGGGTTTTATCTCGACCTATGCCGGGATTGAACCCCGATCCTTCATGTTAGCGAGCAAGCGTCTAACTCACAGAGCTACCGCGGCTTCCTGTGTGATCAATTGTAAGTGAAAAAAATTGTAGCTTGAATTTTATCCTTGAGTTGTTTTCAGTGATATATAATAATAAAAGATTGCTCAAGTCGACCTTCACGTCTTCATTAGCATGTAAGATGCAGAAAAGTAGGATGTAAAACTCTATTCATTCAGACTGACCTTCTATGACACAGAATAAAGTAGGGGATGAGCGATGTGGATTGACAGGGTTAAACGAGGGTAGTAGAAGTGTAGTCTGAATGAAAACAGATATATGGTGGGATAAGGGCAGTCACAGAAAGAAATTAAGAATGGTGGTAGAAGGATATTTAGACGGAAAGCAGAAATAGAGGAAGTGGAAATGGATTTGCAACAAGAAAGAGGAAGAAATACGTTCAGAAAATTGTCACGAGAAAAGTTGAACAAGACTAGAAGAAGCTTTTGAGAGTACGGTGAGTGTAGAAGTATGAGTAAGAAGAGGATAGGATGAAAGTCATAGGATATTCTCTTATATTGAGAGGTACTTATTGTACCTCCGTGCACTGCTTCGAATTACAGTACTCCGAAGACTTATATTTACAAAGGGTTTGTTTAGTCTTGCAAATAGCGATGGGAGGCTTGAGAACTCATATCTGATAGTCATTTTTTTGCTTAAATTGTGTGTGTAAATTTTGTAATTGTATTTTGTCAATCATTTGTCTTCTGTATTATGTGAGTCTTCGTAGAAATATCTCCACTGTTCATTTAATAAAAGGACAATAATTCAAAAGGTATGTTGACAAAACACTGTTATTTCCCTTGGTACAATTTTGTAATATTCTCGGAAAGAATTCGCGTTTGTCCCAGATGATCCTTCTACCCAAGTCATGGGAAGGAATTTGTTGGCACAAACACACGGTAGCCTACATTATAATAATGTCTTAGCACATTCGTATATAACTCGACTTTTCCAATTTCTAAAGAGAATTTGAATGTCAACTACAAAATTCAAAACAGTGTACTGATAATCTTAGAATGACTTTGTGTGGATAATTTATTTTATTCGTTAAATGTGTACATTGAATATAGAAACAGAAAAAACGAAAATGTTTCAGTCTTAAAGAAAATTGTCCAAAGTTTAAAGTGATAATACTTAAATCAACAGAAGTTATCAATTCTTACGAAAATATCACTATATTTCGAGTTTTCGACTGTATGAAAACAGAAGTGCACCCGAGAGAGACTACTGCATTCGTCAATATATGCCCTGATAATATCACACATATATCAGGTGACTAAAAAAATCCCCGACACTTTTCATTTCGGGATTATTTGTGACAAAGGACTTTTCTAAAAACTTCTGATATTTCTTAGTGGTTCAACTTATAACGCTTTAAGATGATTAATATTTCTGATCATGTGATGAAAATATGGTCGTTTTTGCTTTGATACTTTATGCATCATCCTGAAATAAAAAATGTTAACGTTTTCTGAGCCACGATATCGTTCTAGAATAGTCCTTTCAGTCATCTCACACATGTAAATAACAAATTAAAAATGTTATTGACACATAATCCCTTTTTTGAAAAAGATTTTAAACCTCTTGATACCAATAACCCGGACGACTTTATTTTTATATTTATTGAAAGAATCGGATTGTGAGACTTTTGAGTTTTTAATAACTCTTGAGAGAATTATCGAAATTGACATAAATATTTTTTCATTGCTCAGATTTATAAAAGAAAGAAATAAAGAAACGACAATGATTTACAAGGATAACAACTGTCTATCAGCAGTGCTGATCATTGACCAAACCTCGTGGCATTTATCTTTCCCAGATTATTGGTACCCATTTACAGTTGGTTCGACTGGAATTTTGAATGAAGATGACTTCATGAAGGTCATCGGACTTTCACACGCCGACCGAGATTAGAACCACACGACCACCATCTTACCGAAGGAATTTTGAGCGATGACGATTAAAACGTTTTCTTAAAATCGCATTATATACAGGAGTAAGCTGTGATGCTTAACCTGTCGAGCAAAACAGTTTAATCCCCCTTAAAAGATTTTAGAGCTTTTCAATCACCCACGGCACCTGCGACTGTAGGTAGCTACAGACATTTTATCACAGCATTTGATCTATCAACAAAGGCTCACTTGAAATGTTACTTGAAACAGCTGGTTTTGATTTATCTCTATTGGAATCAAGAGGACGTCAAATCTCCGAACGATAATCTCTCAATATATCAAATATTGGCCTCCCATCAAAATTTATACAATAATAATATGGTATATACATACATATTACTGTAATTTGACAAGCATTAACTGGAAATTGAGATTGGTAAGGTAGGGTACTTTTTTATATACATTTTTTAAACATCAAAATCTCGAACGTTATCCATATGACACACCTTATGACTTATTACACCAGCCGGACGTCGACTTGAGAGATTAACTTGCATGTTGAAGGTTCTATGCGAGAAACTGATAGACAGTCGCAACAAACTGTCGAAAGACTTGTGGGCAAGCTATTTTCTGGCTTGTAGTGGAAGGGAGTCTGCTAGGAACTGTCAAAATACAAATTTCTGTTTTGGAGTGCTCTTAAGGAATAGAACAGTGTTCAACTTTGCGAGAACTGTAAGGTTTTTTACTAAATTCCACAATAGCCAGGATATTTATAAAGATGTCTGGTACATGGAACGTGCATACCAAATTTCTTTCCTTCACAGAAAATATAACCCTTAACGTATTTTAACTAAATTTTGTGAATGAGTCCCATTAAGGTTACAGATACAATTTAGACGTGGTGATGTGCAACGCGCATCCTATTCACGCGAGCAGCTCGCAAATGTAACAGTCCTCTCCCGTGTAACTTGAGAAGACAAGCAAAAGTTAGATGCCTGCTGGCATAGCTCGAGATAATACTTTCAATCCGGTCTACAGGCTCGGATGGAATCATAAATCATGTTGTACATGTGTCCCGTGGAATTCTAAAAAAGTTGAAAGTTGCCTATAATCTCGCAAAATTTCCCTTATTGCACTAAACAGCGCCGTGCGTATTCATTAGCCACATAAGTGCAAACATTTAGGATGTTAAACCTTTTCACAATAATACAGCATTCACCATTTTCTCTTGTTCACACAGAAATGCCCTTATTTGGATGTCTTTTTATCTTGGCGTCAATAGCAGCAGAGCAGCAAAGTGGTAAGCATTTTTTAACACATTAAAATGTTTTAAATGTATGTTTAAATTATTTAAAGGGGCATTCCGCTTATTTGTAATAAAAATTAATTATCAAAAACGTTGTAAATTATCCCTTAAAATATTTTCAAGTATGCTTTTTATATCTATATGTATCTACTTATTTCTCTACAATTAGGCGTTTATTTTAGTTATATCCGTACAGTAGTTTTTTAACAGCTTGCGAAAAGTAAATAGTTTGGGCTTTAAAATTCGAAGGCTGGTTTTTTTAGGTAAAACTTTCAGATACGTAAAGGGACATATTTCTTTAGATTTTGATGTATAGTTTTAAGCCAAAAAAGGTTTTCGACCCAAAAAAAAAGCAGAATGCACCCCGAAGAAAATATTCTATTTTTTTTTACAATTAAGGCATTTTCATTTCAGCCTCTTTTCACTTCTGCAAAATGTCATTGAATTTTATATAACAACAACAAATAAACTGAGTAGTTACTTTCAAAAGATTTTATTTTGTTTTTTTTTATGGCTCATAAGTACATTTACATTTTATTTGATCTACACAATTTGCAGTACACTAAGGTACAAAAGTGCGATAAAACATTAGTATATGCCCACATGTAATGTCTTGCAGATTTATCTTATTCTAATGAAATGTCCCATCGTTCTTAAAGCTGCATGTAAAAGATAAGGTCAATGTCGCAAGTCCAACTTAGACAGGAGACCCATTTAAGACACACGTCATATACACTGGACCAAAGGTCAGGACTGGTAAATAATACATACCCTACACACTAACGTGTGTCTGGCAGATACCACAATCGAGCAATTTGAGAAAGTGGTTGTCAAACAAAAATTATCAAAACATGGCTTACATTTCCTTTAAGTAGAATATTATGGTACGACTTTATTGTACTGGCCACCAATTTTGCCTTTAGTACGACGCAATTTGTGAATAAAAACAATTAAATTCTTTATTGAGCGTGCTTCCTGAAGAAACACGACGCAATTATGTACAAGGACAAAATCGGCACATTAACAACAAACTTTGTATTTTAGAAAAAATGCATTTAATCATGAACTTGATCAGGAGTGCTTACGGCTAAATAGTCACAATCATATAACATTGAGAAATTATGAAGATAATGACGTTGTTTATGATGATGATGATGATGATGATGATGATAATGATGATGTTAATAGATAATTTCTTCTAGGAGGTGATGTATATGAACTAGCCACAATAAATGGTTTGGTAATAAATGGTATACAATTTCCAGAAAGGCTCGGAGTCGACGTTTTTTTTGGTGAATCATGTCACTCTTTGAATTTATCACGTGACCCCATGTTTGATGACGTATCGATTTATGTTTTAACACATAATGATGATGGAGAACACAAAATTGACCTGATAAACGAATCAGAATCGAATAATGGAAATTCCGTACGTATTCCATATTTGGAGGGATATACGGGGAATATAATCATTTTGTAAAAGATCAACGAGTAACAGCCAATATGCCCCATGTGAATATCTTAAAAATGCATGAGAGCTAATGCCTCGTGCAAGTCATGCAAGTCGATGCTTGCCTTCATTAACATCACAACCCCAAGCCCTCTCCCCTGGTTGTCTAGAACAATTGCAAAGTTGCAATACATGTTAAGTAGCCTCTTCTATTTGAATCCTCTCTCACTATTTACGTACTCGTTATTTCAGTTATACAGCCACTATCGCGACCCTCAGAATGGTGGCGTCTTCATTCTGTACCGAAACACAAAAGACAATTCACTTTCAATGGTTAGAAAAAATACATTTTTTTAAATTTTGTGTACGTTACTGCCTTTTAAATTGTATTATTCAGATGAAAAAAGCAAAATATTGATAGAATGTAGAAGTATTTTTTGCGCCTAGTTGTTCAGGACAATAATAGTTAGATAGCGTAAGACAAGTTGGTATCAACAACCGCCATTGTTCATAGAAATTTGTTTAAAAGCTTAGAGATATGTTTCCAACTATACACATTGTTAGTCCATTGTCCCTTTGTTGGAGTCGTTAAGCTGGTGTTGTATGAAAGATAGTAAAATATGCATCCTGTAGCTTTATAGCTCGACAGCCCAGTAAGTTCAATATGTAAAGAACTTTGGAAATATTGTATTTTATTCAGTTGAAAGGCAACATGAATCACTCAAAAAAAAGGACACTTTTATTTTTCCGACCCATGATCAAACCAAAATGTTTTCATATAATTTCCTGAAAACTTTACTTCTAAAATATGCGACGCAAATAATTGCCAATCAGTATATCATTAACTGAACGCCCGATTTTCATTTATTTCTTATTTCCGATCAAAAGTAAAGGTACTCTGAAACCGGATTGAAAATAATAAGATATCTCAGATTTCGGTTTCTTATTAAATTCTCTGGCCCCGGGACAGTCAAATCGGATGAATTCAGTCTACTGTGGAACATGATAATTTCCCAGACCATTGATATCCTTGGCGTTTATTGTATCCCACTAAAACAATAATTGCTGAATTAAGATATAACTCACTGATATGCACATTATGTGCGCTATTTATCGATACGTCGGTACCTTCTGGTTTTCATAAGTGAGTAAGTATTTCATTGTGAAAGTGGTATCAGGTGTCCAAAAGAGTAAGCAAACCCTCCATGGCGCCGCACACGTCACGTCAAAACAATTTGTATTTTTAAAAATATTTCTATTATATGTGTCTAGGTAGGCACCGTGTATCTAAATGGAAGTGGCTATGAAATAAAACAACACCACAGTAGGTCTTCGTCTGAGAATGGAAATACTAACACGGTGTATAGACTATACAAGACAAATCTAAAAAATGCCACCCGCGGGACAAAAAGGAAAAGTAAGTTTTGAAATTATAATACAAATGCAAAATCAATAATAATATGCATTAAACTTTCCATTAAGATTCAAATGAATCGATAAATTTGTAACAAAGCATTTTTTTTCACGAATCAAAAAATAATAAAATTGGATGAATTTGTAAAAGTAATATTCTTAAGAGTCTTTGTAAAGGCGAAACACACATTGACTGGCGATTGAATGCATCTCACTGAGTCGAGTGAAATACTCATATTTTTATCTTAAAATTGCCTGTATACTAAGAGCTGCTCACCATGTTCACCATGGAACATCACCATCTGATAACATCCAGTGGCATCTGCAATGTTGCAGTCGTTGGTATCGGGTCGACTAAATCCATCGAGTGATCAGCAACTAGTAGTCATTGAAAAGCCAGTTGCAGTCAGATTGTGTCTGGCTTAAGACCGACATGAACCCATCCTGAGAATTGGTTGTTGTCGTCGAAAATTCTGATTTACGAACGATGTACGGAAGATTTTTTCTGAAGTCAACAATTTCCATATCTTATAATCTTTTAAATATGTGCAATTGGGTCTGGAATCTAAGATTTTATCACATTCTACTTGTATCTAAATTAAAATATTCCTAATTTGACAATATTGTTTTAAAGATGCCAATGGAAGTCATGTCCAGCATGGAAATTGTTATAGCAAACGAATGGCTGATGGAGTACCATGGTTCGCTGGAAATATGTGGAGCAACCAAGGCAGTCAATGGAATGGAGGCGCTAATATGTGGGTTCCACCAGGAAACGGGATGTTTGGTAAAGAGGAGCTAGGTGTTGAGTTGCTGGTATTTTTGGATGACAGTATTTATCATGGGTAAAAGTTGATTATGTTGGTATTATTGTGTATAACCCTTTGGCAGGTGAACTGTCCCTTTAAATAGTATTTAATCACTTCATAACCTGGACAAGCTCGACTTGTGATACAGGAACTACAGACATGGGTTGAGTCTTAATTTTATTTCATAGTTGCGGTTAGTTTTTCTTCAATCTGGAAGTCCAAAAATTCCAAAAGCTTTACGATCACTATGTGTTGCTTTTGTCGCTATACTGAAACAACTTGTACTTGAGGCTGTTTTTGTCAACTCGGTATCCCCCTCGCATATGGTGGCAACTGTTTATTTCGTATCTTCGATCTGTTGTCAGATGTGTTTAAATTCTAAACTTGGGTGACAGATGAAGACTTTCCATGTTTTCATATATAATTGTCATAAATAAAACAGAATTCCATTATGGTAATTTTCTTAGACGATGACCTAAAAGTGATTGTTATTAATCTATTATAGGATGAAAGACGAGATGCTGGCCATGGGTCAACCTGTTCCAGATTCTGTCATATTTAATTTACTGAAACAACGCTACGCCATCATAGTCCAAGGGGTGAGCAAATTTTCTACCAATCTACCAAAAAAATACAAACCCTACATTTTCCCTTGTTGAAAGTTTGTTCCCCTTGATCGTATAATATAATATTTATTAGCCAACAAATTCCGACCCTTGACTCGTATGAAATTATTCATGGGCAGTTTTGTATTAAGTTTTCAAATAATTTCAATATGACACCATTTCCGATATTATTTTTTTTGACTTGGTTACAAAAGCATAAGGCAAGTAGTCTCTAACGCCTAGTCCATACCTGTCTATGTCCATATAATATATAATAACTAAATGGTAAAAGTAACGTATGTGGATTTACAACCAAGCAGGGTGTATACGTCATTTTTAGATTCGGTTTGAAATACGTAATGGTCTAGAATATAATTTGATGCTCATTTTATTGGCTTATTTAAGATGGATCTTCGATATGGAGATATAGCAGCTACTGATTACTCTATAAAAGTTCGACTAAAGGGTGTAATGATATGTACGGTAATGTTTTTTTTGGCTCTTTGTTTGTGCATAATGTCAGTTTACTATGTCGTAAAAGGCTGCATATGTCGTTTAACTTGAACCATGCGACTATGTCGTGACCAGCTAACTAGTGCTTGGCATATTGGTCAGATTGAACAAAAAGTTGAAACTCATTTGAAAGTCTTAAAAAGGCAATTAATCTCCGTCATTTCAGAAACCCCAAGCTTCGTTTTGGACATCAGCTCGAGCCTCCAAACAACTGGGAAAAGAACGTGGTGTCGTGGACGTTGATGATGCATTAGATGATTTTCGTGATTACCTCAAGCAGTTTGGACACGCTTTTCCGGAATATGACCATGCTATGACGTTTACTGGGTAAGGTAGTCGGCAGCGTTAAGGGGATTTCTCTGTAATTTGTGAAAGTGCTTCCGATTTGTTTTCAATATGTTGTTATCAGATCTCAGAGACTTTTTATTTTATTTAAAAACCATACGTTCTTCCAAATTTGGCTTTTGTCATTGTGATTGTGAAAATTCTCAAAAACTAAAACCTAGATTTGACAGGCAAGGTTGAACCGAAGTAAAAATATCAGTAGATGAATAAAATATCTCTTTTCAGATTTGATATAGCTTCTGAAGGCAAGACGTCCACCATCGGTATGAATTACAAATATTATTCATCGTTTCTTTAGTTTGTCTCGCTCAATTCATCATCATGCCAAACATTCTCTCTAATATCACACGATTTTGATAACAGAAGAAAACAATGTCTTCTTTTCTTCAATCTACTATTCAAATTCTGATCGGGATGTTGCTTTGGGAATAATTTTGATCGTCAATGTCATGCTAACCGACCAAAACACTGCTAAAAGTGGAACGTCGATACAAATCAATGTCCAACAATATGTATGTGTAATGAAACGTTGCAATGATTGTTTAATCCAAATCTACATTTTAATCATGTTTTCCATTGTGCTATTCCCTTTTTAGGTGTAGCGTTCTTCGAAGGAATTTGTTCTGACTTATCAGTGTCTATAATAGAAGACCATGGAAACACAGTTACTACCATTGAGACAGCTACACATGAGCTGGGACACAGGTAAGGGTTAAGGACCCGTTTTTTGATAATACCAAAGAAACCCAAAGTAGAGTATTTTGACAACTTTTCTGTGTATAGCTACCCCGCGATTCGTTAGTCGAGGTTATCAAGAAAATCTCTCAGAACAATTGCACGTAAATTGAATTGGTAAAGTAATAAAATTTTGCTAAAGTTAATAATTAATTTCAGTCCAAGGATCATCAATAAATGCATAAATCACAAGGCAACATATTCGGTACATCATATCCATGGAGAGACGAAAACATCGCGCAAAGATTTCAATTTTTTTAAAATCATTTCTTTATATTTATTGATTGGTGCTTTTCAGCCGTATATAAAGATTTTCCAAAGTGTTTTGCACGTGGAATCTTCTTGACCAAATTCAACCTACCCCGAAGTGGGCAGTATCATAAAAGTGGACTAAGTGAATTTGCGAGCTGACACCATTAGCGTGAAAATATAACGAGCCTCCAAGGGAGATAATTTAGAAAGGAAATAATTGCCGTTTTCGTATAAAATAAAGTCAATGTTAATCTAAAGGGACCTGTAATTGTGTTAATTCATCAATTAACTTATGTCAACTCAAAATCATTGTAGTGAAAGAAAGGAAGCTGTGATGAATTATAGAAATGTATAAAATGTAGAAAAATATATCAAGAATTAAGACTATCTATACATGGTTTAATAGCCACAATTCGTCGACAGTATTATAGATTTTTCCCATAGCATTATTGCGTTCCAGAGAGAATGACACATTATGAAAGTTAATATCAAATATCAAATATGTCAAATGTTTATTTTACAGCATCATTTTTTGATTCTACGGTTTATCCGATTTATATTTCAAATTGTCGATATTTCGGCTAGGTTATTGGTAAGTACGTAGTATAGTTCAAAGTTCATAAAGCAATATAACGTTTTCAAGGCCTTGTATGTGCCCATGTACATTATGTCTGTTACTTTCAGTCTTGGTTCTGAACATGATGGTACCGGAAACTTGTGCCAGAGTGACCTACAATATATAATGGCCTACTATGTTGGAACTAGGTCAGAACAGATAGAGACAAATCCCTGGAAGTTCTCAGATTGTTCCATCACATACTTCCGGCTATTTAAAGAGACACTGAAAAGGTATAATTTCAAATCAGATTTGCTTGTGAGGCATCAGTATTAATCTAATTAAAATAAGATTAGTTGCGTTATTTTTTTGTTCAGATTCCAGTAATCTAAAATGATTTATACCAACACCGTGTACCTTTGATGTTCATTTCTGAACTATTCGTGTCTGAATTTCGACTACGAATTATTGGATAGCGAAACCCAAAGTAGAGCTATATGACCAATGTCGATGTTTATTTATAAATGATTCTGATTGAAGGCAGACTGGCCGTGAGTTTGGCTGCTATGAATAGCTCATAGCGTCAACCATCCATACAAGGTATTGGTATAAATTTCCTTAGATTACTATGGAGTCCGATCAAAAAAAAAATATAACGGAACGAAACTGTAATCTAATTTAATTAGATTGCATCAGTATTGGCGCCCATCTGAATACTGCTTCTTTACAGGGAAAACCAACCTGTCGGTCCAAATTTATATTCTTCTCCAGCACTCTAATGATAGTGAAATAAATGCTTACTCTTCTAGAAAACTCGGTGATATCATATCGCAACTGCTGATAAAATATAATATTGAAACCTCAACCAAGAAGGACGTAAACAGTATTAGTTAGGTTTTTTACTATAGAGACTTGGGCACTATTCATCAACTCGTCTGAAAAATTCATCTTGACGATTGTAAAAAAGTTGTAAATTAACAGCACAGGCGTCCCTTTTCATCCAATTTAACTAATTGACATATGGCACATAACAAGATGAACTTCATTATAAACTAGCATTACCAGTCTAGTACATTAAGTTAGTCTGCCTTATCTTACAGGAAAAACAGGAATTGCTTGTTTGACCCCGCCACTACCGGTAATCTCTTTGAGTGGACAGTTTTTACAAGACAACAAGCCCTACAAAAATACACTCCTGATATACAGTGTAAGATATTCCAAGGTGGAATGTCATACCATTGCAAGGTAAGCATTGGCCTGACAAATCTTTCCATACCAGTTCATCGGAGGTGGTATACGGGCGGTATGCCGATATCCCATCCATACATGGATATCACGTCTGAGGAACGGAAAGGACCAGATATGTCTGGTTGGGTAAGCAACCTCTCTCTAACTTCTCCGTCATCTTTCTTCGAGCGTGCCGATCGGCTCTTGTTATTATGAAGCTAATTCCCGAAAAAAACCAACGTCACTTTTAATAAGTTCATTCTATCATGAGTGTGATTTGCTTAGAATATTAATTATCACTCAGATGATGATAATTATGCTGTGATTTTATCACCTGTTACAGAATAAAACTGTCATGCTTGCCCTCAGCGAAATTAATTATAAAACTAGTATTTTGTCAAATATAACAGGTATTTTTGCTATTACTTTTGGTAGAAAACTTGTTAGATTACAATTGTGATTAAAGAAGAGATTGGGCTATTGCAGACGGGGGACGATATGCAGTACAGACCCCTATCTGTATCACTGGCAAGGGAAACTTTGGTTAGAAAGATAGTGTGTTATAACCGGATTGATAAAGAACATAAACACGTGGCAACCTCCGTCTAAATTCAGGTTTATCTGTATTGTCAATTTCATTCCGAAATATATCAAGTTTCTGTTTTCTATTTGAATTTGATTTAAGAGAAACATTTTTTGTTGTTTCCGGTAATATTTCTATATAACAAACGATATTATATTACGGAAATGAATTTGCGAAAAACACTATATAACTATAGTGAAATGAAAGTAGTATTGAACCAATGATGATTGTATTTCATCATCGTTATCATCATCATCATTATGGGTTCATTTTTCTATATTACTTTGATCATGGCTACAGTTTTGCGACACAGTGGCGAGTTTCTATCAAAAAATAATTTTGTAACGGGATTTTTCGACATACTCGCTTTGGAAAGACGGGTTCAATAAGTGCAGAATACATCAGTCATCCATTGGAAAGGCTTAGATAACCAGAATGAATTGGGGGAAGGACGACTGGACAGATCAATTTCAAGAAATAACTGAGATACAAAAGACCATTTATAGTCTGTGTATCGATGACACTTATATGTTTTAACGAGTATCCATGCACTGTCGTACATCTGTCAGACATTCCTGTCTTCATGTCCTGGATTCTACCGTATCTGTCGTGTCAGGTATTCTAGAAGTCTGTATATGTCCTGCCTCGATTCTGTCATGTCCGATATTCTAGGAGGCTGAGTATGTTCTGCCTCCCATCTACCATGTCAGGTATTCTAGAAGTTTATCCTTCCACGCAATTGTCATGTCAGGTATATTAAGAGACTGAATTTGCCCTGACACGCATCTGATAGACATTCCAGATGGCTCAACATGTCCTTTCTCGAATCTGTCATGCCAGTCTAACTTTCCACGCATTCTGTCATGTCGGATAATCCAGGAGGCTTATTATGCCCTACCTCGCACGCATCTAGTCAGGTTTTCAAGAAATCTGAATATGCCACGTACCTCGAATCTGTCGTATATTGAGAAAGCCATACCTCGCCTATTTAGTGTCAGATATTCTTGAAGTATGTATAACCCACCATATTCGGAACAGTATAATATAGCTGAAAAAGGTGAATAAAAATCATATAAGCAAGACATTTCCGTAACTCAAAATCTCGTCCAAATGTATAGCATTGGACAAAATAGAAGAACCATCAGATGTAAGTTTTATTTAGCCTGAAATTTTCATCTGTTTCAGTTTTGATTAATTTAATAATGGGACATTATCTTTCAGTCATACGTGAAAATTAAGGTTCGTCGAAAAGTGATATAATCGAAGTTGGCTAAAATGGGGAAAATCGTGTAATTCATCTGTCAACGACTAGACCTCATCCATAAACATGATCCATTAGAATTTGATATTTGTAAAGATTGTTGTTCTGGAACGTTACACATGCAATTTATTGATTAACCAAGAACATCATGCCACCAGGCGGTGGTCTACGTACTTCGCGAACATTCTGTCAACATCACAATCCTAGCATTCTATTCGACACACAAAACTGACCTGACATCAAAATAACAGTTTGTCAATATATTGGCAGTAGCAATTGAACTATTGATATGAGTATATAAAGTACAATAAAAAAAATTCCCTTTAAGATAGTGCTCAATACATCAATACAGCGATAAAAAAAATATTTACATATGAGGAAGTTATATATATTATAAATGAGGAAGTTTTTAATGATAAATATGGTATCTCTAAATTTATTGTCCTCTGATAGCTGATAGACGTCAATTGCAGCTGTATCCGACATTCGGTTTTCTTCTTTGATAACAATAAATGCATGCCAGAAAAAAGTATCTATTGACAGTGTATATGTGAAAAGAATTTTATGTATGCTGATCGTAATTAAAGGTTGAATAAAGGATTATTGATTTTGAAATAGGACTAAAGTTAAAACTGGTGCCATTAAAGTACCATATTTACAATATTAACACAAAAAACAACAACAATATGCTTTTGAAAATTGAAAGAAAAGATTCAGACATTCCATTTTCTATGCAGATGGTATTTCCCCAATCTTATTAAAATAACATTAACATTTCGTTTCTTTTTGTGTGATATTTTCGTCTCCATTGTAATCCAGACAGTTTTCTATCACAGGCCTGTTCCGAAAACTTTATTCTTAACCAATCAAATCCAGTCATGCTGAACCAGTATCTTGACATCAAGGATAAACTCTAGGATAGCGAAGCCAAAAGAGGCATTTTGTTCTACTTTAGGTTTCGCTATCAGAAATAAAAAAAAACACTAAAAACGAAATTTTTAAAAAAGATTGGTACGACCGCCGCCGCCCCTTGTTATTCAACAATGAATTGCAAAAGACCTAATTTCACTGAATAAACCACTGAAAATGTGCTATTCAAAATAATTAGGCTTCTCATCATTAGGTGTACGTGCAGAATACATCACCGAAAATTGTAATTTAATGTTCATTTCGTGATTAATTGTCATAAACCCTTAATGTTCGCAATTCATTGCATCTAAAGTGTTAAAAGCGTTCGCTTTGAAATAAAGGTTTACACTAGTTTCTTAAAGTAGAACTGTCATATCATATAAATAATTATTTAATGTCACGACAGTTGATTTACTTTACAATTGGGTACCGGGATTTAAAAAAGACTTAAATTTTAAAGGCATGTATTGATAGTGTTCTATTCGCTTGAAAAGGTGCCTTATGATAGCTCACTGGGCTAACTAGCAATGTTGCTTCAAAAATCAACTGTAACATCTTTTTCTCTGCAGGGAATGGTACCGGATGATAAAATATGTAATAAGTTATACTGCTATATTGTTAAAACTGGACAGTGTAAACCAATACAGGCAATGGAAGGCACACCATGTGGTTTCAAACAGGTAACGTGTCTTTGTACATACCCCCAACGGGGATGAAGGGGGTGGGCGGCAAAAATGGTTTGCACTCCCACTTTATTTTCTATACATCGCAGAGTATCTTAAAATGACGTGTCGTCAAACTTGGATAATTCTGGGCACACATGAATTTGAAGGCTCAAATTTCGACGGTGAGCTGTGAACACTATTACTGATTGGGTTAGCTAAAAGATTTCCATTTCTACGATTGGTCAAAAAGAATGATGCACCGGGACGTTTAAAGGCACAATGAGAGCAATATATTTATTCATATAGGTTTGCTAACTGGCGACTGGCTTTTTTTTACCATTAGTTGTAAAAATAAGGCAATTTTACCTTTTTAAGTAACTCAAATTCACAATGCAACTTACTAGTTGATGCAAAATGTTTTGATACGTGAATTTTTTTTTTTAAACACATATTATCGATGATTGACATAATTTCCATTGACCATCACGAGCGATAATTCCCCCATCTCAGAACTTTCACAAGATAATACTGTCACATCAAACTTTGTATTTCAGTGGTGTTTACGCGGAGAATGTAAAATGGATACCAGCGCACCACCTTATATGTGAGAGCCGTGGATCTTCTTTGTAGACTTACTTGGATGTGTATAGAATAGGTTTTCACGGAAATGCCAAGTGTGAAATGATCATTTATGCCATTGAACATAATTGTATAACTTTGAACACAAAACGTTGTTGTCCTGGAGACTTTTTACCGTTAGAATTAATTTTAGGTCATTTTTTGTTGTTTCTTTTCTATCTATCTAACAGTATCGATTTCGACATTGTTATTATGTGGATTTCGAGAAAGAATTTGACGAAACTATGCCGTCAAAACCATTTGGCTTAAAAATAGCCCGTAATCATTTTATTTAAGGAAAAATCCACCCAGTTTCCATTTGCTATTAACAATTTTTTTTTCTGAAAAAAAGCTGTACACAAATTGATAAATTGCTCATACTTCCTTTGCGTTGTACTGGCTCAAATATCCAATTTATTAGTATAATATTACCAATATTATTATACAGAGAGCCCATTATTCAGCAGATTTCTGTTTCCGGACATAAATCAAGGGACATTATGTTTGTGTTTAGAAATTACTGATATAAGCATGAAAAAGTGCAGCGGTTGATGACTATTCGAGAAGCGATGGGTAAAAAATTGGGGTTAAATTTCGATAATTTCCAGTTTTATTCCCTTGCATTTATTTTGGACCACAACAAACCTTATAAATATTATAAAATATTTGCAATGCTTATCTTCTATTAACGAACCCAATCGCACAACGACATTAAGTGTTCTGAAAGTGGAGTGAGTATGTTACACTAAATACATCCATCACATAACTTGAATATGACACCAACTACTCCCACGTTTGATTACTGGCGCACAATATAACCTTTTGTAACCTTGTTTCATCAGGAAAATTGGGTATTTGAGGATCAAAAGTTGAATCGAAAATACAAAAAAAAAAACCACTACCACAGATCTTTTGTGAAAAATTTCAGCCAAGTTGGATCAAAATGCCTGTGCACTGTGTAAGACTTAAAATACCGCTTTTGAAAGGCCATACAGAGGTCCAAATTTGAACATTAATGCAAACAAAAACTGGTTTCAATAAAATACATTGTGACTTCAACTAAAAGAAGTACATAGCTCCGGGTGTCCCGCATCAGGTAGTTTGTAGTCTCCGAAAAGCGAAAAAATCTTAGTCATTTTAACAATATTTGTGGAGTGTATGATACATATAAAAAAAACATGTCAGTGACTTTCTTAATTATATCCTGAAAACATTTAAATTTTGCTTTTGATGCAAAATTTATGGCACTTTTTGGCAAACTCCATGGTATAGAGTGATGTTTGTGAATGCAGCAATTTAGTTGGATTGTGCGTCAGCGAATACAGCCAATCAGAATCTTCACAGAAAGTGTAAACAATATATACCCATAGTTAAATAAGATAATTTTATGGATAGATACTTCTAGAATATTTATTACTAAATCGTTTCAATGTGGTTCTCACACCGTTATCAGGAATATAATAGTTTTAAACAATCAGTAACATAAGTATATATATAGGTAACAATGATAATGGAAACAAAGGCAAAAGGGAAGACATATAAAAAGAGACACTGTAGGGATAAAAAAAAGTAATCATAAGCCATAATGTTACAGTCTATCTGTCGAGGGCTTTGAATGGCTGCATTCTGTCATACAAGAAAGGTAGCTATTGGTATAAAACAAAGTTCGTAATAGCTAATTTTGAAGATGGTACATAGGGCACTTATGGCTATGTATGTTTCTTGATGCCCCGACAAACTAAGATACCAAAACAAAACAAAGTTTGGGCCGTATGATTATGGTTGTAAATGATTTCACCTTAAGATTTTATCTCTTCAAAATGGCGTTGAATTTGTGTGGTTCAGTAGTGTTAATTAAATTAGTATACTAATTAGTATATCACCACGTATTCTTATTCCACCTTCCCTCAGAGATTTACTTAACTCGAGTTTAACGACAGTTTAATGTCTTATTTAAAATCTCTACAAATTTGTTTATTGTATCTCAAAGGAGAACATATTTACAATGGTATAAAATGACTATCATTCGAAAGTGCTAGATACTAAAATAATTAATAAAAGTACACCCACATACTGTGTACTTTCGGCCTCTTTTTATTTGTATATAGATATGAAATATGAATATTATATGAGTAAGGACAACCTTTCGTATGAAAAAGATCTTTTCGATTGATGAAAGTTCACCGCCTATTTGGATAAAGTGAACTGCATCCCCATTACTTCATTTATCGGGGGATGTGGTTTGGTTTTAACCAAGATGATAGTGATAGTGATGAAAACTCTAGTGACCACATGTAACAATTGTTTTATGACATTTGATGTAACAAATCCAATATTACTTCTCATCAATACGAAATTTAACACTAACATAATGTGTTATTATGGGGGTCAAGCAAGGCCACATGTGGGTTTGGGGGGAGGGGGGGAGGGGCTTGTCACATGCAATTCTGTAAACTGATAAACAATTTGAAAGTACAGGGCCAAGGCCGAGCAAGCCACTTTTCTGGACCTGGACCCCGAAGAAACGCCACGGAATTTTTCTTAATCATATCACTTTTGTTTCCTAAATTAAATGAAACCACGTTGTTTTCCGGTCGTTATTAACACCATATTTCAGTAATTATTATCCTATTATTGATTATTACACGTAACAATGCCCGGAAGCGACGAAGGTCTAACCTTCCACGAAATGTTTTAATTGTAGGGGTATAGGACGTTGGATGTAATTTCTAAAAGGTGTATGAATTGGTGCAAGTTAGAAATTGTTTAGATGAATCTATATCTTTATACCAGTATGAAATACTATACTCCACTGTGAAATTGAAAAAAAAAATATCTGACAGATTGACAGTGGATATCATTAACCTTTTATTTAAAAACATTAATTTCAATTTTTAATCACCACCTTTCTTCCTTGTCATTGATCTATGTTAATGAAAATTCTCTTTTTTTAATAAATGTGAGGTTCTAGAACACAGTTGGTTATTGTGTTGTTTTTTACAAGAAGAAATTTGCTTGCTTACGCTGAACAATTGGAAGTTGTGGGTTCCGAGAGTAAAACTCCGATGACCTTGAATAAGTCAACTTCACTCATAATTCCAATGCGGCTATAATTGCAGTACAGATAATCCTGGAAAGATCAATACCAAGAGGTTCGACCAAGGAACCTTATTGTTACCCTCGTTAAAAACAGCTGTTTCTTTATTTCTATCATATATGAAAACTGTTCTCACACTTTTGTAGGTAGACTAAATAGAATTCTATCGATTATTTGTATGTGAATCGGAATATCAGCAAAAGAGTTCCATTAGCAGTCTAAGAATGATTTTGCATTTATCAATAATGGAGCATGTTATCCTTTTGCGCTTTGTTATTAGATTTCAATTTCCTGAAAACAATAATTATCCCAAATTCCTCACATGTATGGAAATCTTTTTTAGAATGGAACAATTAATAATTGTATAATTAATTATAGTTTCGTCAGATCATGGTTGGCAAGTGGAGTAACCCACCAAAAACATACAATACTAGCTGTCACGTAGATCAGATTGTATTTTATAAAGTTAACACACACTTCCCTTTTAATACCAATATTTCTGTTTATGTATCATGAAAACTAGTAATTATAGTATTAACTGACAAGAGCTGCTATACTTTTGTATCAAATTACTACATTGTTTTATGCCAGTTCTTTCCGCAGACCGATTGTCCCAAGTTGGCATTCGCCTACGCACTCAACTAGGCCTACTTATACATTCAAATGGGGTCTAAGCAATTTAAATAAAATTTCCATGATACACCTAACTATTATAGAGTATTACCTTAGTAATAATATCTTCGACTCAAGATAATAATCATTCGTTTCGTTTTTATCTCTCATTCTAGATCTGACAAGGTATATGTTGTACGTAATGTATGCAAATCTATCAATGAGAATGAAGATTACAAATTGTCTGAACAATGCATCTGAATATACCTGAATATTATCAACCAAAGGCATCATGTTAAGCTACCGACTCAATATACATATTGCTGTTAATATTTGAATTTGAAACGTCAGATCAGGTCCGCAGCTATAGACTTAGCTTCAAGCACATCATTTACATCCGGGATATTTTGAGTGCAATTGTGTGAACGTAACAGCAGTCCATATCTGAAAAATAACATAGTTTGACGTTCTCATATTCTGAAACGTATTGAATAAAGCCGTGGATGAACACGACTTTAATCGCAATCCTTAGTCCATATGGCATATTCACAATATCAAGCTATTACGTACTTCGTCTTATACCTTGACTACCTTGGATGGAAATCGAAAAAGAGTAGACTAATGCCAATATTCCTCATTGTACCCGTCTTCATTTGCCAACATGGTGCAGAAAAGTAGGATGTAAAACTCCATTCATTTCATTTCATTTCATTTCGGAAGTTTGTAAATGTAGCGATTTGGTTGTTTTGTTCGTAAGCTGATACAGTCAATCGACAGAAAATCTGTAAACAATAAACCATAATGTTTACAGTCTGTCTGTCGAGGACCATGATTGGCTGTATTCGCTGGCATACAAACCAATCAAATTTCTGCGTTCCGTGACATAAAAGAAAAAACTATTGTAAGCAAGTTATAAGACGAATTAGGCATTGACCATTGCGAAGATGTCCAATATGGACAACCATGTATATGCATGATGTAATTTTCAAGATTTTCACCGGAAGTTCTCAGAAACCTTCGCGGAAATTGGTAATGATGATATTGGAGAAGTATTATTTCACATAAAAACGGAGCTATTGATTTGAAGAAAGAATTGATGACATGTTTAAATGAAATATATAAGATATGTTTTTTCACACATGAAGATGGCATTTACGTCAACAACTCATCCTTAAAGGGGCATTATGATTTGTTCGTATGTTGATATTTCTTTTTGCTCTAATTCATGAAAACTATACACCAACCTCTAGAGAAATGTCTCCTTTAACGTATCTAAGAGTT